TTGTACAACCCAACTGTGAATGAACACGCCTCTATCCATTGGGGGCGAGACAGCCACTCGCCTCCATCAAACGGGGGCATACTCAAGGCACGCTTTTAGATTTCTTGTACAACCCAACTGTGAATAAACACGCATCCATGCACCTATCGGGGGCGAGGCAGCCACTCGCCTCCATCAAACGGGGCATATCCAACGCATGCTTTCACATTTCTTGTACAACCCAACTGTGAATGAACACGCCTCCATCCATCGGGAGCGAGACAGCCACTCGCCTCCATCAAACGGGGGCATACTCAACGCACGCGGTACGCTTTTAGATTTCTTGTACAACCCAATTGTGTATGAACGCGCCTCCATCTATCGGGGGCGAGGTAGACACTCGCCTCCATCAAACGGGGGCGGGTCATGCACTAGCTTTAAATTTCATCTAAGTGGCTCATGTAAAATTTGATCTAACAGTGTTAGTACAGTTGATACAATCAACACAGACACAGTTTAAGGGAGGCTGCGACTCGCAAGGTCCCCATGTTACCCACAGTCTCAATTTTTCCGCGTCCGTATGTTTGCCAGTCCCGCTATGTTCTCTGATCCTTATTTCTTCTCAGTTAAATTTTTTTCTCCAGTCGAGCTGGAACAAGATCCGGGGAACTTGAAATAGCCCCCCTCCCCCGGGAAACTGCATATAGGAAGCCTATATTTTTGGCGTAACTTAAGTGACTATGGCGTGCCATGGTACTCTAAAAAAAATTCGGGAGGTTGTGGGTGAAAATGTAATGAAATAAAAAAAAAGAATAAATGACTCTGTTATTGTTTCACGGTGGTACACAACGTGGGCATACAAAAATTACTATGTCCACACTTGTAATCCCAAGTCCAGGTTAATGGGGTGAACAGATAAATGCAGTCTTTGTGGAATAATATTTTTGGACATTTTTGCATACCGCAGGAGCGGTGAAAATTAATTTAAAGGTTTATGAGTCCGTCCAGGAAAGATTACTGAAGATATCTGATGTTTCACATCGGCCATTAGACTTAAAATTGTAAATTTTAGTCTGTATAAATGTAGTGCGTCTGTTTAAGGACTGAGGGCAGAAGTAAATGAGATCGGGTCTTTGTGTCACTTTGCAGTAAAATATTTGTGTAAATTCCTCACGAAGCAAATGCACAGAGCGGATCAACCTTGACACCGGCATGGATATGTGAGGCAGTGCATTACGAGACGCTGTTCCACCTTTCATTGTGTTGAGAACATGGGTCGATCACTGGCATCGGTAACATTTTGCACAAGATACGATGTTGGCATTTATGTTACGAACAACACAAGCCTGCATGATGGCTTCTCGAGCTTTGAATCCTTGGCAGCCCGGCCAGCCGGGCCGACCAATCTTCCATGCATATCTGTTGTCAGCAAAGCATTTTCTCAACTTTTGCGTTTGCAGTAAATTCTTCATAGTTTTGAATACACTACTCAAAAGAATTAGAGGAACAAGAGAACAGAATGTTTTTGTCATTGTCTATATGGGCTACCGTTTCGGAACAAGAGGCATTAAACTTATGTGAAAATCATTCAGGTGTTGTCAATCGGTTCTAAAACAATATACTCAACAATGTTGGTGCAATCATGCGTGTCTTCTCTTGTTCCTTAAATTCTTTTGAGTAGTGTATTATGTATTCAGTTGAGCTTCACTGTACTGTAAATTACCCCCACCGTACAAATGACTAGGGTTGAGAAACAGGGAAGACTTATGTGAGAGCGTATTCTTGTTCCAGTTTTGATCCTCTCAGACAATTCCGTTATGATTGAAAAAGTGGTCAAATTGAGCCCATTTTCTCTTTATATTTGAAACTGCCGAGGAAAGGAAAACAGTTGAACTTATAAGAAGTAATGTTGTTTTCGAATACACAAGAAATATTACATCTTGACCATCTAAATTGCGCTGTATATTGGCCATGAATTATTGCGGAATTTCATGCAAGTGGTCACACAATGACAAGTACCCACATGTACATGTGCATGTACAGGTACATGTACATGTACAGTACATGTGCTTGTACATGTACATATGTACGTATGTACAGGACGTCAAGGTGAAGTTACATGTACAGTGTACATTTAGTTGCTGTACATACATGTATACTGTACATTGATCACTCACACATAAGTTCACTACCACACTTTCCTGCCTGCAGCCAGGTCGCGCTGCAACCACACATACAGTGCCTACTACAGACAAACCAAATCAGACCTAAAAGTGGACACACATGGCCGTGTACTGATTGAAGCCATTATACCGTGGGTCCTTTACCACTAGAAACGCCATAAACTGGGTGGGGAGGTCTTGAATGCGAATCCGGGAAACCCGGGTTCGCAAAAGCCACATTAGACTGGGCTCGGTCCAGTAATGAACTTTCTGGGGCACCTAGGACAAATTCCAACCGTAATTTTCAGCCATTCTGCTCAAAGATGGAAGCCCAACCCCCCATGAACTTGATCCTGGCAAAAGTTTACACAATCTCACCCTTTGGGGGTTGATGGTTGGATGGTTGCATGTACGGCAACATAAATGCTCTTTATGACATGAAAAATAGACATGCACCAGATACTGGGGCTGTCGTGTCATAAATAGTACTAGCTACTACTATTATTCGTGTGCAGCGCGAGTTCGACTGTTAGTTGCTGAAGGCTGAAGATAGATAACTCTGCCCAAAAGGAGTAATTACCTATACGATCATTGGTTAAAACCGTTAAAACTCTGTTATGTGGACGACCGAAAACTCGAGGAATCGATACTGAAAGCCGCATAATTTTGGAAGGTACCAAAAGAACTGAAGGGGGAGACAGGAAAATAGCAGAATGGGGAGCTCGTGATCCTCCCAGACACAAGGTGTCAAAGTGTCCTGCGAGGTCGGGCCGTGTCCCACGCGGTTTAATTAAGGGCCCGGGCCCCGCTCTGCTGATTTGCAGGCCCGCAACACCCCTTTGGAGGGCCAAACAATGTTCTTTTCAAAAGAAACGGTGGGGGCACTTTTAATATTATGCAAATGATAATTTTTACCATGTGACGTGAAGAATCACCTGACGGATCATATGATCAAATGTACATGTACCTGTACATGTAGCTACCATTGGAACGTACACGCTTACGGTCCCAATGTGCGTGTGCAATTACATGTTCCTCATACCGTACACCAGGTATGCTCATACGCTGTCTAGTGCTCTCTTGTACAATGTGTCTCTTTTCCGTCGCCAGAATGCAGCAGGCCCCATTGCAATCTCCTACCTTGCATGTTGTTAACAATTAGCTTCCTGTTGAATATCGGCTTGGAACCCATGAGTAATTTGCCAACAAACAAGCTTTTTGATAGTAAAAGTAAGCTCGAGATACGGTAGGCTACATCATCGGAGAAGGCTGTACGTGGGTACATGTATGATGTACATGTATGTTGTAGAGTTCTCCATACACATTGACTTTCGTGAAATTAAAAGCTAATGTTGAATTTAATTTAGTGGAGATTAAAAACAACACATTTTTATCACTTAGATTGGTGCACATACGCTAGAGTTAGTGCAAATCCTGATTCCAGAACTAGTATGATCCAGTATCCATCATTATGACAACTGTAATTTTTGACTAATTTTTGTCTTGTTTGTGTAACGTACAGTATGTAAATGTCCAGGTTGCAGTGATTGTGTATGACATACTGTTGTTGACCATTCACTATACATTTGGTATTAGTACACACGTGAACTCAATATCGTTAAGGAGGCCATTATGTATATTTTGGCAAAATGTGATCTTTTTGAGATTTTTAATTCTAAAAGTATTATAAATAATTACTTAATTAATTAAATAATAACAATCGGTCGTTGCAATCACGTACAAGGTTTAAAAACCTACTGTATCAGGGCCAGAACAAATTAGACTAATGGTATCCATGAGGAGATCCATCATTTCTTGAGCCAAAGACTTGGGTTTTCCAAGTGAGAATTCATGAGGCTTATCTCAGTTTGTTATACATACATGTATCATGCATCAAATCTAATTCTGAGACCTATTACATGTAATTTACAGAAGTCACAATCACTGCTGTGTTGACCAACGTTAAAAAATGGAAACAAGGAAGGAGCATGCTATGCAACACTTCACAACTATTTTTCTTCTCACAAGTGTTGTCCTGGCACTTTCAACTCTGGGTGATTGTCACTGGAACTCTACAAATCCACCAAACATAATCTTTATCCTGGCTGATGACTATGGCTTCAACGACATTGGTTACCATGGCTCAAAAATCAGGACTCCGTGGCTGGATAAACTCGCTGCTGAGGGCGTGAAGCTTGAGAATTACTATGTTCAACCAATTTGTACCCCAACACGGAGCCAGCTGATGAGCGGCCGGTACCAGGTGATGTTATCAGCTGAAACATGGCCCTGTTTCATGGAGTTGCTGAATGCTAAGTAGAAATATGGCGTGCTAAACAGAATTACCATTCATCTTACATATTCATAATCAAGAACTACATGTAAATTATCTATGGTCCATTCACATGTACGCTGCCATTTTTCTGGTCACAAAGTGTGCAAATGTACCCGTAAAGATAGTCTACAGTGCATCCACTTCAATACATTGACTGCCATGCATGATTTCAAAGGGGTTTTCCCATTTGCGAAGTGAACTCATGCATGCGTGCATATTTTGTAGGTACCTTTCATAGATCATGTGTGTATCTGGACAAGAGCTTTTACAGATATGTGTCCCTCACACTGTGCTCTTCAGTAATGTCAGTCTCTGCAATTAACAATAACAATAACCTTTCATTTTCTACAAGTGTACTCGTAGTTGGCAGTCAACATGCTAAGAATCAACCATTAAACTGTCACACAGCGTAGGAGCATGTGTGAATAGACTTAAAGATATCTTGCTTTGTTTTCTTATACTCTTTTCTATGGAGTCAGTGGATGTCCACATTTCAGTCAGCTGCATAGGAAAGCACACCTGTAAACAAAGTCATCAGTATGAAGATTGGATAATCAAGTTACAAACTAAAGAAAAATATCAAGACAAATACGTGTAGTCTTGAAAAAATCAAGGCACTATTCTTGAAATAAATCAAGGCAGTTTCAAAAATGTAGAATAATGTCTTGTTCTCCTAGATCCACACAGGTCTAGAGCATTGGATTATCTGGGATGTCCAACCAAACTGTTTGCCTCTTGATGATGTAACCCTCGCTGAAAAACTCAAGGAGCTTGGCTATGCAACATATGCAGTCGGCAAATGGCATCTTGGCTTCTATAAGAAAGACTGCTGGCCCACTAGGCGTGGCTTTGATACCTTCTTTGGTGAGTCAATATTACAGTCCCTGGAAGCTTGATACTGATAATGCCCCTGCCTGTAGCTCAGGTGTAACATGTAGTTGCATCCATTCTCCCAAACAGGTTTAAAGTGCATGCTTAAGACCAATCTGAAGTATTTTGCTGGCTGAGGGGGGGGGGAGTATTTACATGCTGCCTTCATCACATCATGGAAAATCTGTTGGTACATGTACAAATGCATGTACACATAAAGTTTATGGAGATCCTGGCAAGCTTGTGACCTGCCGCAGGTCAAATTTTGTAAAGCTGCTAAGCAGACAACACCTAACTATCATTGACTGTTGTGATGTGGGACATTTAACAATTGTTTTAATTGTTTTCAAGATGTATTTTTTTTTTTTAATTGTGTCGAGGCTAAGGAACTTATCTAAAGAAATAAACTCTGAATTTTAGAAGTTCAGAAGATGATAGGCCTACTTTCTTTAATGTGAAAGTAGTGTGGGTACCAGTGAACAAGTTCAAATGTCATGCAGTTCATGGTCAGTGGTTCCTGTATTACCTTAGACATGGCAAGGATGAGAGTGAGTCTGTTACACAACGCAACCATTGATCGATTTCCCTGGAACCCATGCACAGAATGCATAATGGGTACCAGACAAAATGCACTAAATGAGTGACAGTGGTTGCTCTCGAACTTCCCAAAGCCCTTCTGTCTCATACACGTGCATGTGTGAGATGTCTCATGGTGAGTGTGACGTGCGGATATATTGGCCTGTTGTGTGTTCATTCTGGGCCAATGAACAGACAGTATCCAAGACAGAGGTATGACAAGATGATTTGATACCTAAGACTAGACTCATAGTAACAGTGGCAAAGCTGAGGATGCTGTTCATCCTTGAGGGTGTAAATTGATACATTATATTGCATATCATACATGTAGCAGTCAGTAATTGTTTAATTACACCAATGTCTTTAATTCTTTATAACACACGTAATTTCCTACCTGAAGGTCTTAAATTTAATCCAAATGTTCAGTGTCAAAAACAATATTGGAGCTGAACGAGCTTTTGTCAATGGTAGCCCCAGCCTCCCGACCTTCTCTTTAGTGAGCCCGCAAGAGCAGTTATCCAGGTAACCTACATGTACATGTACACGTCAGTAGTGAGTTCATTGGGAGTACCATATGCTGTCAACACATGCTCAGTCTTTGTTAAGGACTGATAACACTCAAGGGCTGACTACAGGTATGGACAAGTAAGGGACTGACAGGACAGACAGATGGAGACCTGACAGATTCTGATACCTCTTTCTATTTGTTTAGAGGAAAATCACATTTGTTTAATTCCTGATTACATCTAATCAGCTTATTTTACAACATGATCACAATAATTAATGGACAGTACCTTCATCAAGGAAAGAGAACTGTATGGCTAAGCGAGACCATCTACCATAAAATGCTCAACAGACAAGCCCAATTGGGATTGGGATACCAGCCAGCATACAGACCAATATTCCCCCTCCCTCCAGAATATTCCATGGGGGACCCAGTGTGTCCTCAGCTACTGATCGCCTGTTTCTTCTAACCCATCGCTACTTAGGTACGCTCCTTCCATGCACAGCCCAGATCTCCATGTACATGTACGTCAGTTCAACTGTGTATGCACACAGCCCACTGACTGGGGGCAATGTGATAACAAGCTGCTAGTTCTGTTTGCAGCAAAGAACTTGTAGATGTTGTGCTACAATATCTGGACGTGTTAAACAACCATTTTCAGAGGAGAATCTGCATGTACATGTATTTCCAAGCAGACATATCATGTTAAGGGAAATGTGCCATACAAATGAATAGTCTGGTAAGCAGACCCCACGTTTGCTTGAAAGTTTGGTTGGGATGTCCAATTGTGAATGTGACACAGATTAGTCTTTGCCTTGTCATGCAGGGTTTCATCTAGTATTGAAATATCTGCCTGTCTCTTCCCAGCCAAGCTTACAAACTATCCGTCCTCTCCCAGAAAATTGTAACTGACACCCCTTGGTGCTATCTGAGGGCTGAGGCACTAAGACATGTTCACCAGTGTTAAAGATTTGTGTAAAAAGTGGAGGTTTGTAAATTTATTTTCAACAAACTGTGTGTCCATATTTGTTCTGCCTGTCCTCAGGACACTGGACAGGATGAGGCACTGTTGTCTTACTCGTAATGAATGTTGTTGGCAAATGAAACTACAGCATTCAAGACAGACAGGTAAAATAATGATCAGTAAAATTACATCTTGCTTCAGTAGCCGGGTTGTTTTCAGTGTTTGGCATATTGGTTTAATTGACAGCTGAATGTCTGCAGTATATCATTACTAATAGCAAATTCATGAAGATAATTCCAATTTATGTGTAATTTTACCAGGGTACTATACAGGTTCAGAGGACTATTTCACCCACAGAAGAGGATGTGGAATGCCCGGTTTTAACTGCAAAGGCTTCACACCTGGTCTGGACTTGCGGGACCAGGAACAACCAACGCATAACTACAATGGCAGTTATTCAACTCACATATTTACAGAGCAGGCCCAGCAGATTCTGGAAAATCACAACTCTGCAAAGGTAATTTGCCAAATTTTCATCTGTACATTCTGTCACAAACTACTCAACCTCTGCCTAGAATTTAGGCTGAAAGAGATATTACATGAAGCATATACCTTTGCACGTCGAGCTTTGCTAGATTTTTGAATCATTCATTATCTTGGCCTGCAAATTCATGGCTTAGCTAGGACATAATTTCTGCTCCAAACTTTGTGGAGTTTTTGTTCTAAAAATTGCATACTGATTTCAGAGGCAGAATCTTCTGAACTGTGGACATTGTCAGCAATCTCCATGCCTGTGCAAACTATTGCTTTTTTAAGTTTTGGCACATTTTCCTGCTACCGTGTTGTTGGCATAATTTGCTTGTCTTAACCACTACCTGCCGGGGACTCCGGAATCAGAGAAGTATGGTTTATATGCGTGGCCGGGTCTCCGAACTNATCCAGCCTTGTTTTGAAACCATATACCAGGGTTTGGGGCATTGAGAGCCAGGGGATTACCACCGGGGTCAAAAGCACTTCACCACCGCAGCAATGAGCCACACAGCACCGCTGCACGCTAATCTGGCCCCTATTGAAAAGAGGTCAGCAGTACGTGCACTGAGCCAGGTTCGTGAACAAAAGATACATGTAGTTCTACAACACCGCACAATCTGGGCTCTGTTTACAAGGCTGCTGGCCTGGCTGAAATACTCGGGCGTCAATGAAGGTCACCTGTCAACTTAGACTAGTGCCTAAAGATTACTTGGTGAGGCTATAAAACGACTGTTAAATGAAATGATGAATTTTTGAAGGATTCTGAAAACGGAAAAAATGATAATAGTCATGCTGGCCCAGCATCATCAATGTTGAAAAATGCCCCGGCATGAAGTGGCTAAACTATTCCCATAGCATTTGGCATTACAGTCACAAACTATGTGCTTGTACATTTATGTGTGTGCACATGGTGCTCATTGTTTGATGAAAGACGCAAGAGTGGCCTTGTAATGCACTTTATTTTTAATGTTTACTTTATTTTTAATGTTCAACCTGTCCATACCTCTTTGCCAAATAACTGACCATGGAGATTGCTATTTGAAATCTATGATTACCCTATTGTTTCCCTCTGTACAGCCATTCTTTCTTTATCTACCATTCCAAGCTGTCCACAGTCCCCTACAAGTTCCTGAGAAGTATATTGACCCTTACAAGCACATCGCTGACAAACATCGTCGGATATACTCAGGAATGGTGGCTTGTATGGACGAAGCCATTGGCAACATTACGCAGACCCTGACACATCTTGGACTGTGGGACAACACTGTGTTGATTTTCTCCACAGGTGAAGTTTCCAGTTTCTGGTGGCAGTTTCACTTAAATTTAGGCCATTTGTTCATCTTAGATGTATGACTTGTATCCTGTGCTGTAATATGTCATTTCTGTCTGGCAATCTTAACTACGATATTGTATGTGTGTATGAGAAGGAAAATTTCACATTCCATAATTGAGAAGGTAGAGTACATGTATCCTCTTTTATGTGTTGTTCACCACACAACATTCCTGCTCTGCTCTATGGAATCTATAAAGTTACTTAACAGTGTTGTAGGTCTCAAGACCTTTTTTTTTGCGGTCTCGGTCTCGCCCTGGCAAAGTCTTGGTCTTGGGAGGGCCGGTCTTGATCTCGAAAGTGCCGGTCTCAGTCTTGGTCTCGGTCTCAGATGCCATAGTCTCGGGTGTCCCAGTCAAGACCATAACAAATGCGCATCTAGCTACCACGCATGCACGCTGTTGCTAAAGGCAAAATTACCTCTGCTCGAGTCAAACCCTTAACCACTGATATAAATACAACACAGTAATGTTACAAAGTTTTTGCAATAAACAATGAAATCAATGCTGGAATGAAGACTAGTCAATGCAACATGATGTGCGGAATTCGCACACTGGACTGGTTCCCGTTCCCCATGTAGTCTCTTTCTGAACTTAGGGCCGGGACAGGAACCAATCTGTGTGTGTGCGCATGCTATGAATTGTATGCACGTGTGAAAGTACTTTCATTCTGTCTTGTATGTGGTACGTGTTGTTTTAGTAGTTTCGTTATGCTACATGTTGCAACATCGTCAGCTTCTGAAACCTCCAATCAGAAAAACATCAAGGCTCTATGATGTCAAATAAATTGAACGTAGTGCTGTCGAAAAGCATGTTCATTCTGATGCCTTTTCTCACCTTCCTCTCATCTAAATAAATCAAGATCTTTTTTGAATATTTGTTTTCCAGTGTTTTGCTTACAAAAACAGTCTAAGGATATTTCTTTAAATGTTCACATCATATCATTTGGGACACTCGGCTTGAAAATGATCAGACCGTGGTAAAAGTAAAGCAGTATCACTGACAAATGAACTGAGACAAGCTTTGACAATTATTTGACCTATTTGTGTGTGTGTTTATGCTAATGTTTTCATTTTATTTCTTTTGTACTTAAATTGTACTGTCATATGTTTGTCCCTATTTACCTTTTGGTAAAAACTGAACATTGGTTTATGGTTGGTCTTTGGTCTCGGTCTCGACCTGCAAAAGCATTGGTCTCGAAGCCCTGGTCTTGGTCTTGAAGGAGTGGGTCTCGGTCTTGGTCTCAGTCTTGTATGCCTTGGTCTCGGTCTTGGTTTCGGACATCAAGGTCTTGGATACAACACTGTTACTGAAAAAAAAACCCAAAAACTTGGTACAGATGTGGCTCACTGAATCTCTGGGCTATTTTTCAATTACTGTACCTTGAAATCTTAAGATCATGAAACCAACAAGTGCAGGACTTTTGTCATGTTTGTTGAGCTGTACCCTACCATCCACAATGTGTGGAACCAAGATGGGTTGTATCCAAGCCAAGATTGGGGCTTCACAAAATAGGCTTTGTTGGAGATATATCCCAGCACAATAGTCTGTGCCTGATTACATATGACAGCCTTCACTGTGCTGTGTCCAAAAAAATCAAGGGTGTAGACTCTGGAGGTGAATAATCCCCTCTCAGTTTATACACGTAGCTAAATATTGCAGTTTATGCTTGCAGTACATCGAGTGTACATTAACGGTAGACGTGCGGAAAAACAACATCGGTACTTCTTTTACATGTACATCTGTGTTTTCTGTCTAGATTGTGTAGATTAATGATGTACAATTGACTCATGTCATAAATGCTGCAGCAACAAACTACTGGTATAAAGTACAAAGTTCAAGGATCCCAATATCTAGAATTCTTATGTTTCTTTGTTTTTCCACTTCTCTTATAACAAAGCCATGGTTACAACAAACATAACAAAATATTTTATCTGTAGCTACTACATGTACATGTACCTTAAACTTTCTTAACAGTCAACTTTGTTGATTGTAATTCCTGTCACTTGTTGACTTCGGAACCCCTCTTCAGATAGATATGCAAGCCAAACTATGGTACAGTGTAGCTACATGTTTAGACTTTACTAAATCTGCTCATCTGCCTTTTCTTTCTCTGTGAAGATAATGGTGGACAGATATATGAAGGGGGAAACAACTGGCCACTGCGAGGATGGAAGACCTCGCTATGGGAAGGTGGTGTTCACGGCGTTGGCTTTGTTCACAGCCCTCTGATATCAAAGAGTGTTCAGGGTACCAGTTGTAAGGAAATGATACATGTCAGTGATTGGTTCCCTACACTCATTGCTGGTGTTGCTGGTGGACATCTGGATGATTTGGAACTAGATGGCTTTAATGTGTGGCAGACGATCAGGTGACTGCTTTCTAACTAAAGATTTTTATCCATTGCCTGTAGATAATGGTGGCCAAATTCATCATGGTGGGAACAACTGGCCACTGCGAGGTTGGAAACGCTCCCTGTGGGAAGGGGGTATTCATGGGGTTGGGTTTGTCCATAGTCCCCTGTTAAAGGAAACCATCCGGGGCATGGTGAACAGTGAATTGATCCATGTGAGTGACTGGTTCCCAACGCTTGTGGCTGGGATTGCTGGAGGTAATGTGTCAGGGCTCCTGTTGGATGGCTACAATGTGTGGGACTCCATCAGGTGATTGCAGTTAGAAAAAGAAATCTTGGCTACTCACGATTTCATTGGTATTCTCACACAGACACCTTGATTTTGCCATTTCTCCAGTGTCTCTCTTCTTTTTATGTTGATTTTTGCCTTCAATTGAGCCCAACTGACCACCCGAAAAAAAGAAGAAACAAATAATTTGTTTGAAATGAAGGCATTGCATTCCTGTTTGTAACTTGCCTTTCTGTTAGCACCTTCCATCATATCCCATGTTTGATTTTTTGTACATGCATGTATTGTCAATGTTGTCAGAACGGGATATATTTTGAATTGTACTCAGTACAAAACAAAGCTTGTAAGAAAACTGCATTCTTTAGTTGGTCATTTATTAAAACACTGAGAATTTGCAGTTAGACTGCAACAGTTGATTAAGTAATTTGCACAGAAATTTAGGTCTTAAACTGCCAGAAAATTCTAGAAATTGTACATGTATATGCTGAATTCGAATATAATTATGTGATATTTATTTATGCACCTTAAATTTGCCCCATTATAAAAACTCAAAAATGAGGACCATGGTATCTGGTATATTGCTATTATGCATACCAGGTGCAGAATCAAGGGCTGAATTTGTGCCGTTGTGAAACGTAAACAAAAATTTTGATGGAGGGAATTTTTCCCTTCATTGCCCAACATAATCTCAGTGTTGCACAAAGTTGTCGTTTTGTGAAAAGGAAGGATGCAGTTGAGATGAATTTTTCCTAACGGAGGACCGTGTAATGTGGCTGACTTTTGTCAACATTAGACAATTTGGTTGATTTCACCCCAAAACAGACAATCAGAAGTGATGACTTTGAGCCAGATGTATCCCTTTGTTAAAACGTGTATCACATTTCTTAGCATACATGTACATGTATCACATTTCTTTCATCATCACCTTCACATGCAAGGCACTTCAGGCAGTAAAACAGTTTACACGTTGGTCGAGCTCGGGCGGCCTGTTCTTGACACAGGTTTCTTGTTCTCGCGCTCGAACAGCGCGAACACGACTGAAGAACACTGTTCTCGACACAGGATCACACACCACCACCTCGTCAGGGTTTTACAGGAACACAAGGAAAAACTCGTGATTTTGATCAGCTGCAAAAGTAGACAGATGGCTTCTAAAGCCACAGACAATGGGAAGTTTTGCAAAATTAACATTAATAATTTTCCATAGCACAGAAATGGGTGTTCCTGTTTAAAAAGAGAAGAATTCAGCCCATCCAAACATTAACTCTCGAATAACGCACATGGCCGCTGTCATGCTGCATGTTGCTTCCCACTAACTACCAGCCCGGCGTTCGACAACAAATTGATTTGTTCGTGAAAATTTGAGAACAAGCCGCGCGAACTCAGCCATAATGTATGGTTAAGTGGGCAATGGCAGGAATAATTTCATGAGGTTAAAAATGACATGTAAATGTTTGAATCCACTTTGAAAATTGATGCGATTCAGGAGTGAGCAAGGCCCAGATCAGTTGCCTATTACTACAGATTAGGCATGTCTATCTAAACCTGAATCAGAAGCATAGCTAGGAGGGAGGTACATGTACATATAACTGCACTGTACCGGTACTTAAGACTGAAAAGGAGGAGTGCCCCTTTCCCATAGGGCTGTTGTAGGTAGAACATCCCAATAAACATAATCTGTTCTTATTTGTAATTGGTTTGGTGTTTGTAGCTTTCTGTTGAGCTTCTAGTGCTGGTGATATGTTTAACGTACATGTACATGTATGGCTTTTGGGAGCTTTATGTATGGATACTTTACAACAACAGTACATCACTACATGTACATGTATATCACTTCCTGCCAGTCTCAACTGATCGATGGAAGGTCAGGCGTTGAGCCAGCACTGCTGCTTTAGAATGTCCTTGACTTAACAAATATTTTCTAATTATTACTACCTTATCTGTCAACCATTACAGGCCATGCCAACTGTATACAAGTGGATTATGTTGTACCATTTATTAAAATACCCTTTGACCTCTCAGAATTCCCAAGAAAGTGTGAATATTTCCCATAGAGGTTTTGCAATTTCTCAGGGAAATATCAGGGAGAACTAAAAAAGAACTATGTTTTCGTAAAAAGTCAAACACCCTAAAATATGCCTTTTTTGTTGCAGCACTGCTACAAGGGCATCTTTCTTTTTTTTGGAAAATCTATTTATGATTGTTTTCTTGCAAATGATCTAATATTAGCTGCTACTAATTACTTCAACTTCTCTCTGTTTCTTCAACAGCCAAGGGAAATCTTCCCCTAGAAAGGAAATTTTACACAACATTGATCCAATACCATACCCTTCATTACCTTATATGGCTGAATATGAGCCTCAGGGTGGAGTGTTTTACCCTGATGCATACTTCAACACCAGCAATAACCTGCCTGGTTCATATAACACCACTATCAGGGCAGCCATAAGAGTTGGAGACTGGAAACTCCTCACTGGATATCCAGGTACTATGAAGAACTGACTACATTCTTGAATGTTGCCCTCTACTGGTGCCAACAAGGAGTGTGCAGGCAATTTGTTTCCACACTAGCAACATAAACATTAAACAGTCCACATTTGGTCTTTGAGTTTTCATTTAACCGTAACCCCCAAGGGTTGCTGGCCTAACCTTCCCCATTCACACAAAGTTAACCACCCTTAAGGGACTTTGTGCACAGAGGCTGTTGGACTTCGTTTATCTGAGGTATGCCAAACCCAATGCAAAAGCCAGCTGTCTGGGCCGACCAGACCTATCCCCACAGAATTAGACACTTTACTTCTGTTTAATTCTGTGTGGTTGGGGAAGGTTAGGGTTTTAAAGAGGTTTTTCTTTGTCCCAATTATCCTGTCCACATATACTTCTACACTTTTCTGTGTTACCCAATAGACTTTTTGTCATACATTTAAACAGGAAACAGCAGTTGGATACCACCCCCTGATTCAGGAATTGTCCCCATCCACCCAGTAGAGCAGAAAAGTAAATATGTGTGGCTGTTCAACATCCGGGAGGACCCCAACGAGTATCATGACCTATCCGATGCCAGACCTGACAAGGTCAAGGAGCTGGTTGGTAGATTGCAGTACTATTACAGTAGTCTGGTACCACCATTTTACCCCCCTGGAGATGTAAGAGCAAACCCAGCCCTGCATGGGGGTATTTGGACCAATTGGGAATAATGGACACGTGGACTAAACCTTTTTAGAACATGTTTTTTTATTATTGTGATTGTTCGTATCACAATGACAGTAACCATATATTGTAGATAATTCAGCATCTACCACTATAAACCACAATGATATCATGTAACTGTCTTGGTCATTTTGGAGGGTGCCTGTTTTGTCCCCAGTTGTTAGTTTCCAATTCCCTTATCACATTGTATATGTAAGTAATTGCAAGTTCATATTTTGTAAACATTATCTTTTCCATATCATTGTAGTGAACATTCTTGAGTGAATTATGGATGCGTATACAATCCAGATCTTGCTGACATCTTCAAAAAAGATGATATTACCTTTTACTTTAAGCATTGTATGCTGTTTTTTCTTTACTTTCCTAAAGCTGTAGAAAAACACAAATATGAGTTTAAATTGTCTGAGAGCTGTCTGAACACGTGTCATTGTTTATTTTGGTAACTCCACAGTTTACAGGTTAAATCCAAAAAAAGGTAAGGTTTTGCAAATCAGGTTTTCTGAGATATTGGATTATTTTGATTACCTATGTTTATGATAAATACGGTTTATTATGGTATACAGATGGTCTAAAAGCAACAATTTGAATAATATTTTAGTTAAGCAGCCGAATCTTTGATATTAAAAATGTATATGCTTGTATCTTTGTCTTTGGATTCAGATTTCAACTTTTATGGAATGTTTGTTCACCTTGTGGAAAAGATCACAAGTAAAGTGCATATTATTTCTACTTGGGAACTCTGGTGATGAAGTAAGGGGAAAAAAACCACACGTAAATATCCGTCATTTTATGTAAATTTAAGAGTTCATTTAATGCCACTAGCCCAAAAGTTCTTAGAAGTTTACATAGCTGACCACCACCTTCCCTTTTCACTGGTTTTATAGTTCTAAAAATTGACATATATATGTACTAAAAATATTCTCTTGTCAGAAATTACTTGCCAGGTGATTACCCGAAGTATAGCTGTAGACTTTAACACGGGAAAACGGGTGAGGGGAGTCAATGAAAAGTACAGGGCAGTCACTATCAAACTTCAGTTTTCAGTGTTTTTGCTGAGGTCCATTAAAGTAAAGGCCCATAGCAGGGAGGCCTGGCCCATTAAATCAAGGGTATGAAAATGTTAACGACGATGGAGAGATTGAATTGCGGAATTTCAACCTTGGATCATAAACAATCTCTGTGCATTTCTGGGAATTTGAGGGACTTGCTAAATACGTGTTCTGTTTATGTCGCCCAATTATCATTCAGGTAAAATGTGTTCATTATTTTCGAATAGAAGTAGTTTAATTCATTGTATCCATGGGACGTGGCACAAAAGTCAGTTGTCCCCAAGTAGGCCTACTGTAATAAAACTGGGCATATGCCGGTATTTGCTTTAGACTTGAAAGAAGAAGAATAACCATGTTGTATAGATGAATCCAGCCACAGTTCAGGGGACGTTCCTGATGACCTCGACACGTCCGTAAGTCTCTATCATGACGTGCAAGCTTATGTTTTTTCACTGATATTTTATGTTTGTGTCGGAACATAACCTGATTTTACGAAAATGGGGTGTAAAAGAAACCCTGGAGCTTGTGCTTGATCGCCATCGGAGGTCAGATAGAAATTTTCCAGAGGTGTTCGAATCTTGATGAAGTGCAGGATTTTTCTCTGTTTTGTTCACGTAATTAGTAACATTTTTAGCACATTCTGTACAATATTCGTTTTCACTTTCTCGACGGAAACAAAATCTGCAGACCGAGACAATCACAATAGCAGGTTAAGCATAGTATAAAGATCATGCTCAGCAAAAAGAAATAGGAACTAGACCTTTTGGCACATCAATGCTTCGCTGCGGGCTGTTTGGCAATATTAGATGTTTGGTATAGGCCTAATACAGGCGATTATTTTATGCGTGTCATGCCGAAATATAAATAATGATGCAGAAAACTAAATACTGGGTTGTTTGCACTTCACGAAATCAAGTTTACCAACTTGAACTTGCTGCTTATCGATATACAGATGTCAGTCTCTTCTACATTTTTATGTCAGACTCTCCACCTTTTGCTTTCTGGTGCGGCCTCATTTATTAGTCTGTCTTCGTTGTGGATTTTTTTGAATCCATGTACTGTCTGTACCACTCGTGACCAGTGAAAGTTCGAGGCTTGGCTGCCTCGACCAGCTCCAAGCAGCGCTTTTAGTACAACTTGGTCCTGGTCTTCGAGAGTAAGATATCATTTCGTTGGTTAAGCCGCGTGAGGTAAGTCAGACTGAGCAGCAGTTTCTAGGGATGGGAATTTAAGTTAAATTTGAAAAACGTTAGAATACTTTCCCATTCCATTTAAACACATAACGTCCCATTCTTAGTATCTTCCTCTTCCAAATCCAACTCAGTTGCATAGAATAGCCTGGAAAAGATAAATCAGGAGTTGAATGTATAAGCTTTAGAAAGGCACTGGATCAATTATTCAGCCTCAGGATGAGGTTCCTTCACCATCGAAACATGAAGTAGTTGACAAAGGTCAGGACCTGAAGGGACGAGTCTCTGAGATGTACGGTAATGATCGAAGGGAGCGCTTGGAAAAACGTGTATGGGAGAAATGACCTCTGTGTTCACCCTATCGATGTCCTTATATTAGTGCTGCCTTGAAAGTTTTGCGTTAATCATAGCCAGTGTACAGATTCGAATTTCAAAGAAGCGCATTTTGTAATATTCCTTTCGTCGTTGCGCTGTGGTAGGGCTATAGCTTGAAGAGGTTCTGCAAAAACGTTCTTTTTGATTGATGTGAAATCCCAATGTATGTATTATAAATGCAATACATTTCCTTTTCTGCACAATTTAAATTATTTTCTGAAACGGCTGTCCAATTTTATTGATATCTGTAATAAAACAACACCTGCCCCGAAAGAGTGTTCAAGTATTGTGTCTAACATGCAGGTTGTTTCGATTCTATAAAAGGGGCAATGTCCCCCAGAAAAGTTGCCTATTTACAGCACTCCCGGTCCCGCAGTATACGCCAATGACTCTTTGTGTGTAGAGTTCTGTACCTTAAGCGCTAGTTCTCTGCACCCCCAGATCATATCGTTCACCTCATGAACTCATCTTCTAACATCTTGTGGAACATTGCTTGTCCGTTCTTCCATAGAGCTAAAAACCCATCGTACTCCACAAAGGGCAGTGCGGTCGTAAAATTTTACGGGCTCTCAGCAGGCGAAAAAAAAAATCCAGCCGGTCCCTGGCCAATTGCCGTTCAACTGTACAACAGCATCCAGATGGGAGTCATCCTGGTTTTTTTTGTTCAATACTTGGCCTTGCCTGACCCTTAAACTAACTTCTGAAGGCTGTTCGGCATCGTAGAAGCTTAGTGGCTTTCCAGAAGGCACGTGTCTGGGTTATTCTACCCCGGCAGATAGCATATCCAAAGAATATTTCATGTGCCTTAATTGTTACCCTCGAGCAGTTACTGAAAGCTTACATAGAACTGCTGCAGGGTCAAAGCTCACTACCTTTTCCTGTTTTTTTTTCGGATTTAATGGTTTGAGGGTGCAGAGGACATCCGTGTAGAAAAATAAGGTTAGTAGAAAATCTATGCTCAACAATTAATAATAACAGGATTATAAGACAGGTGTCACCACTATCCCCATAGAAAGACTTAATAGAAATTAAAAAACACACTATGCGAGGCGAAGGGTTATTAACACATGCCATTAAGACACACGATCAAGGCACTGCTTATGTCACCTTTCCAAGAATGACCTCCAGACCAGAACATCTGTTATGAGGTACCTGGCCATTGCAGCTAGCCGCTGGCACCTTTTCATCTGGGTAGCTGGCCTCTCCAGTGAGGTTATTAGATGTGCCGGTGATCTTCCAAATCTCAGAAGTTCCCATTTCTTCTTGTAGCCTACTTTTCCAGTCTTCATCCAGCACTCACGGTCCCCGCAGGAAAGCCTGACACAGACACTTCCTAACCGTGTCTCTTCGACCACTCTCTTTCAGTAGCCATCCCAAGATTCTTTATTGCTAAGGACCAACCGTGCTCGATTCAGAGGCTGCGTCACTGGCCTTAGTATACAGCTCAGTGGCAGACTAAAGCCTTGGGAATCTCATGACAGAAAGACAGTACCGGCCCTCTGTGAGAGCCGTTTGGTATTAATTGTGATTGTCTGCCTTCTGCAACGTCATGGTGTATATACATAGGCCTACCTTATATTTGTTTTATAAACCTGTTGGCTGCTAAAGAAAACAATTATGAATATTTACATGTGGAAACTTAATTCTTCCTGAAGATATTACTTGCCTACCTGCATTGATGTTCCCAAACAATCGTGTACGTTAAACAAAAGAATTAATGACCGTCCACGATTCCCGATTCCCATGATTCCAATATGATTCCCAAGGCCTTTTAAAAACAATTAAATTATGAACAAAAGAGGACAATAGGAACGTGCACGATTGCCCCAAAACACGTTTATATTATGCTCGTCTGAACTGTCATCATTATAAAGTCATCGTCTCTGAGCTTCTCCTTTAGCAGTCGATGAGATCTAAGAAACTATGAAGCCCCTGCCAACCTCTGAGATTATCCATGTTGGTTTTATACTTGAGGGTGGCATTGCAAATACCTTTTTATGAAATATATTTCATAATTTGTTTCAGAGTTTGCATTCGGTTTCGTGGTGATTCTTTACGAAGAAGTGTTTTCATCTGTCCTTTCAGTTTTCAGTTTCGTATGACATACGTTCTTGTATCACGGCCGCTGTTTGAATGAGTAAAAATGTGTAAGCTTGGATTTTGTTTGTGTTACTGTGTGTACAGGTATTGCCCACAAAGTAGTGCGCAGGATCTGTAGTCGAAGGGACGCCTCTCGACCGATTATAACGCTCAGTAGATTTTAGCCTCATTAGAGTAATCCGTGCTTAAGTCAAGTTTGGGAAAGGAATTAGACCATTAACTGATTTTTACTCTGTTGATAATGTTGTGCATGAGCGAAGATAAATATGAAAAGGCTTGGTGTTAAAGCAGAACCTAACCAGGCGTTTTAATTCTTGTGACTGTGGCGGCTACCGATCTTTAAGGTCTCTGACTGATTTTACCCCTATGGCTATCTGCTCTCTTACCTAGTTATTCAGTCATCCGGTGATTCGATTATTTGCATGTTCAGTAATTTGCAAAGGAGTAGGGAGAGGCTATTTAATCATTATGTGGGGTCGCAGGATGTCGTGAATTCGAGTGCCACCTGAGTACGCTTGTGGGTTTTTTCACATGCCTTCGGAGTCATACACTGAGTACACAGTGGGAAAATACATGTTGGGCAGGGCAAAAATCCAAAATTAGTTTACATCTCAGCGACGCAAATCCTACTTTGAAACAATTATTGTACAGATAAAATTTGAAGGCTTCTTATTTTAACCATGCTGTAAATAACATAATCAATACAAGCTTTTATCTTCTTTGCTTTGTCTTTTTGGTTGCTTCTTTTACACAGTAATCCAGTGCTTATATTGACTTAGTAAGGAAAGGTGGAACACTACTCCAAGTTGGTCCAGATTCCGTCTTGCACAGCAGGATCGGCTCTTGAATCTCCAGGGTGTAATATGGTGGCACCAGACATTATAGTTGGCGCTGCAGTCCGCCGACCTCATCTCAACTATACCTGGTTTAACGTCAGAGAGGTCGTAGTACTCATTGGGATCGCCCTTAATGTTAAATACCCAGATGTGTTTACCCTCAACCTGAACCGGAGAGATGGGGACGATTCCTTAACCAGGAGGCGGAATCCATGCTTCCGTTTCCTGTTTCAGCAAAAAAATCACGTGCTATGATTAAATTAATAGCCTGTACCCTGGCAGAAGAACCTGGGAATTACATGTATTCTTCAATTTGAAAATCTAATGTCATAAAAAGTGCATCACTGCCATATGGCATCAGCTGTTTTGTTGACATACATACATTACGTATTGATTCTCAAAATGAGTCTTGTCATACCTCAGATTTTGTTATAAGAAAGTGAGTTATTTCAAAGCGCCTTTAGTCAAAAGCCGAAATGTAAGTTTTGCTTTGAGCAGAATATTTCGTTGACGTCCAATAACACCACCTTTTCTATGATGCTATTCACAGAAAATTATTTACAAACAATAATTTTTAAATCTGAACCGAAAATACCCAAAAAAGTGAGTTGTCTTCCCATTAATTAATTTCAAATGACTGTTTCATATATGCGTCATTTGAAAGGTCAGACTACTATAATTACAAGCCTAAATTCTGAGATACCTTAAGTTGATTTTCGAGCGACTCTTGCACGTACCCATCTTTGGATTTGTTAGATTGCCACCTGTCGTGCTTCTTAAATAAAGATGATTTACAATACAAAACTGGTCGAAATAAGAATTGTGTTGTAAAAAATGTAGTTTTAGCCTGGTGTAAATATTTTAGCAACATCGCAACAGGGCACGTAGGCCTATTGGTGCCAGTCTTGGAAATATGAATCCAAGCCTTAACCGTCCCTATATTGATCGGTCTTACTTTTGGTCAAAAATATTCTGTCAAATGACGAATGCATATCAATATCACATTCTCGAATGTTAATGAGCTCGTTATTCCTTAGAAAGCCAGCAAAGGAAAGTGTGCACATTGAACAGAGACGGGCATGCATAAGATTATCTGCAAGCCCGAATCTGACCACAATTTCCTTAAGAATATCAGCAGTAATTGGTTCTTTTTTGGAAATCGGCCTCGCGGCGATACGCTTAATCCCTTCTAAAGTCAGGCGTAAGAACTTCTTATCACAAGGATTATCTGTTATTGACGGATTGCAATCATGATGCCATTTGACACTGTAAAAAATTCTCTCAATTTTAGAAAATGGCGTATTATCATTCAGTAATTCTACAAAAAAATTGGCCAAGTCTTCTGAGCTGGCTGGCATCGCTGTAACGTATTGTTTGTTACACCAAGCTTGCCAATCGGTGAAACATCTGTAGTATTTGTCGGTCGTTCGAGATGCTCTTAAAGCTTTTAAGACTACTTGTAGTGTATAGGCCTATGCACGCTAGTCAATTCTGAAAGACAAAAGTCATGACATATGCCAGGTAAAATAACCGGTCAAGCGACGAAGATTATGAATCCTTCAGGCCAGCGCCCAGTATGTGAGCCAACATTTATAATTCCTTGTTCAATTAATTTTTTATATAACCTACAGGAGAATGTCGGTCAACTTTAATAATAGTCTGTACCAGACAAAATGAGTATTCTTATAAGCCACGCGGCCTTAAGTTGTACAACCATGCACTGCAGCTACAAATCATATAACTTCTGGAGATCTTGGCGAGAGCTACCAAGCGGAATTACTACTCTCGACAGCCACGAGGCCACGTAGTACAACAATCGTGCAGATCCCGTATCCACGATACATGTAGAGGGGAAAATACAAGAATTAAAAAATTGCTTGATGAATCGACCATTTTATGCTTGTGTGCGGAAGTTCTTTCCTGGGACGAGTTCTTTCCTTGGACAAATAAATTCTCGGAATTACTAACTCTCAACGTGTCAATAATTATTTCACGGTAAGGGCTCGAGCTGGAAAAAAGTAAAGGCCAAAAGACTGCAGATGGCCATTCAGGTACCACAAGTGTTCCTCTAGCTCTGCAAGGTTTTACATGCTGAAGAACCCTACAGACTAAAATCTATTGGCGGTACCAACCAATTGTTATCGGCACTCCAATCAACACTAAACGCATCAACCTGAGATGAATTCAAGCTCCAGTATTTTGAGTGGAAATGAGGTAATTTTGTATTATACTCGTTAGCAAACTTACCTACAGTATGTGGACCCCACAACCCGTCTAAGAAGTCGAAAAATATTTGGGAGACTCCCCAGTCGTCTAAATCCACAAAACTTACTACGACGATCCGCTTCCACATTCTCCTGACGAGGGATCCACTCAACCTTTAGCTTAATATTGTTGCAGTTACAGAAGTACGTTTACCACAGATCTAGACTTATTTCCTGTAACTCTGAAGCCATGCTACCCCTGGTAACTATAGACATGACCCCTTTCTTATCTAAAACACACCGTTTTCACCTTGAGCACTGAACTGAATGCTCTGATCGCAAGGGATGCCCCTTTTAACTCACGCCATGTGGAACTCTTCTCTCTCTCAACCTCTGACCAATTTTGTTGAAGTTCCATTTTTTTGTGCTTCAAACGTCCATACACCACACCCCGACTGACTTGCGTCTGTATAAACCAGAACCTGCGGAATGGAGTGATCAAAAAGCAAATGTTTGTTCAGGTTTGACAATTCTTTCCTCCAAAAAAACCCCCACTTCTTCTGTTGCTTTACCGTTGCTTTATGATAAAAATTCATAATCCCAATGTTTTCTGTTAGCTATCTCCATGTGTAGATAACATGATTTGAGGTTGGCAATATTTCCTACAACGCAAGAAAAGGATATAATCTTTCCCGTGATGGACGCAAATCTTCTAGCCGTTAAGAGCAATGTATTAATTAAGCTATCAATCGAACGCAAAGTATCCGTAATTCTACGTTCCTTTGCTTGAAGTGAACCCTCAATGGAATTCCACGTCAATCCTATCCAATCTAACTGTTGTGTCGGATACCACACCTATTTCTCCCTGTTAGGAACGAGCCCTGTGGCTATTAATTAAATCAGCTTTAACCGTTTGAGACGTATCCTCACACTTGGCTTTCGTCTCCTCTCTGGCCCATCCATCATCCAGGTACACTACTATATACATGCCTTTCTCCCTCCAGTGAGTTACCAGTGGTCTAATAATCTTTGTGAAAATATAGGCCTAAGGGGCCGTTGTTAACCCAAACGGCAATACATTAAACGCAAAATATCTCGTTGTACCTTGTAGTTCCCAAGCAAAGCCTAAATATATTATGTAACATGTTCATGGAATATCTCGACATGATGATATCCAGATTTTAAATCAAGAGAAACCATAAAAATCACCTCTTTTAAAATAGTGCAAGGCTTCATTCCAATCCTCAAATTTAATTTTGTCTTTCCAAATGAACTGATTAATTAACATATCTGATATCTAGAATCAACCTTTTCTTACTGGAATTTTGAACTGCAACGGTTAACGGATTTACTACATGAGGGAGAGAATCAAACTCAGAAACAAGATGTTTTTCTCTAAGCTCCGTAATGGCTTCAAGTACAAAATCAGAATGCATGATAGCAAAGCGGTTATCACGAAAAAAGGCCATTGGAGGGGTATCTACAAAGGGAATCTTATACCCTGTGTGAATAACGTCCAACACCTCAGGATTTGCGTGGATATCCTGCCAGAACGAAACACACGGCTTCAAACATCCTTTCAATATTGGATCCGCTGACCCTTGGTCATAATCGTAATAACTGTCTGAATCTGAATAAAACTTATCGTACTCTGCCCGGACTTCTCCGTAAACGGAATCTCGGTCTGCCTCTCCACCTCTACCTGGAACTGGAATCTTTTGCACCGGTTCCGTACAACCCGGTACAGTCCTTTCTCCAATGGCCTGTTTTGCCGCACCTGAAGCAGATGTCAGTGGATCTGGAGGTTGATCTGAAGCCTGTGCCGTATGGTGTGTAAGGTGTCGATTTATATTGGCTACCATAGCAACGAAAAAGGCTATCTTAACTAGTAGACGGCTCAGACTCCCGTTGCTTCTTCGCCGGGATCTGCTTCTGCCGGTAGGCCCCTTTGGCTCTCTTCCGTTTGGCCAAACCCAATATTCCAAGCAGCATCGCCGCGACGCAAACGCTCAAAGTCAAGTTCTCAGCGTTAGGGGTAGAAGACGTCATCGTACCTGGAACGGAGAAACTCGCTGTCAAAAAGCTAGAAAGGCGTTTTGATCTTGGTTTTAAAGACCCAAGCGTTAAAAACCCTCAACGATGTTATAATCCTCGTGTTAAGAAAACCAGTGTAACTGTCGAGGGTAAATCCAATCATCTCTAATCGCAAGGTTTGTTCAAGTACCAACACTGGAACGAAATCTCCAGGTTTTTCGGCGATTCAGATACTGAGGCAGGTCGAGCGGTTGTGAAAGACTTGAATTTGATCGGCGTTGACATGGCTGAGTATCTCAAAGATAAATACGGTCTGTGACTTGATTTTAGAAGTTCCAACAATAATTTGGCTCATGGATCTGGTTTAGAGTCTTATTTATTAAAAAACATTAGTCTAAGCAGGTCTAAAAGTCCGTGTTGCGCTTTAATTGTTGGAAACACGGTAAGTGGTAAGACACAGTGTGTCTTAGATCTTTTGGAGCGGGAATATCAGTTCGTATTTCAAGTCAAGTGATTGTGATCATCTACCCCACCCTATTAATAATTGAAAATAAAACGTACCTGGAATGATTGTGGGTATATACTGACGACAAGTCTACTTCTGTGATTTGGATCGAGAGAAACGTGAGCTAAACGGAGCGCTGGACCTAAATAAAAAAGCGTTTGACGGTATAAACACGTTGTTTATTGTAAATGACTGTTCATCCCATGAGGGTGTTAAATACAGGAGAAAAAATAATAAAAGCATAGCAGCTCATTAATTCGAATGGCATTTTCTAATAGACAGTAATTGCATTTGTGTTGGCTGTTGAGGCAGAAATTTAATTCTTAATTTTGGATTTGCCCTGCCCTACGTGTATTTAACACTGTGTGCTCAAGGCTCGTGAGAAAACCCACAAACGTACTCGAGTGGGACTCGAACCCACGACCTCCTGCTTTCTAAAGCGGACGTCTTAACCACTCGACCATCGAGCTTGCTGGCGTCGGTTGACAGGTTCGAATCAAATGTAGCAGCGGGAACCGCAAACAATTATTTCAATATTGTTGTAATAAGCGTTGCTATCAAGGGCGATAGGTGAGCCCCGTATTTGTATTTGTAAGAAATACACGTCGGGCAGGGCAAATCCAAAATTAATTTATATTTCCCCGGCGCAAATCCATCTTCACGTCGACTTTTAGTTTGGCTATCAGTACTCTTGTATCTAGCGTTGTTGCTTTTGTCAGGGCTGCTTGTACGCTTGCACTTAGTCCAAAGCCTGAGCCTGGGCCGACACCGACACCTGCTCCTCCCAAACCAGAATTTGAAGAACCAGAATTGCTCAGAATTTGAAGCCCAAAGTCCGGGCCAGGGGTTAAGTGCCATATTTCTCCAATTCCTCAATTTCATGGCTCTCAGGACTCTCTAATATAGAATATTTTGAGAGTATAACTTTTATTAATGAGCTTGGCGGACAAATTTAGGGCCTTTTTGCGAGGGTGCACCCTAGATAGGTTCAGTTGCACGTTTACGTAAGCGTGAACGCGAAAAAAAGTGTGGACCCTGACGTATGGACGTCATTGCTTCGTGCGTATTGTCTCTCACTTACGGGTAGTTCGCAGGGACGTCCAATGCGTAAAACATGGGAAGTTCACGTTTGATCAAAACGTGAGAAACTGCAACTATTTCGGAAGGCTAAAATTATACGGTAAACATTAGCTGATATGAAATGGACATCTTTGCAAAGTACAAAGGTTATGCAACTGGGATTTTTTCCTGCTTGGTATTATGACCGATTACACCTCTTTTGAGAGATTTACCGGATGTGATTGATCATTTGTCCTTTTATTCGAGTATTCATTGGAAAATGTACATTTTGTGCAGGATGCGCATCTAAACATTTCAAACAGGCATTTGACGCCCGTGCACCTACGCACTATAACACAAATTGTCGCCTTCACGTTCACGTTTGCGTAATACGTGCATCTACACCTCCCAATTATTGTTGTGCAACGCGTCGAATATGTCGTCGCTTGGCATGGCATGATGCAGTCAAACAAGATTTTTCTCACTGTGTAACACACGCGAAAATTAATCAGAGCCGATAAATACAGATTGGGATCACACAGTTGGTCAAAATCTACTCCACATGCCGTCGTTGCACAATAGACCGCAAAATTAAACTGGTTTTGATGAAGCGATATAGGATCGCTGACCCAACGATGGACTGCTTCGTCTGTTTTTTTCTCTCGGCAGCTTGTAGTCATACGTTTAATTGGGAAACTCGGCAGAAAACCAGTTTTCTTTATTGACCACGATCGCTAAGTAACTAAAGTTGGTCCCCATCGCTTTTTAACCCTCGGAGCAGCCACGCCCAAAAACGAAGGGTGGTGTCAGTAAGTGGAGATTCTCATCGGTCAGTTCCCAGTCTAGGCTGAATCTGTACGACTGTTAGCTAATGTTAGCGAATGGTAGCTAATACACCCCCATAGGTCCCCTCTAACTACATTTCGTTATGCTGCTGTGGATAATAAGTAATACCAGGTCACAGCCCAAAAGCCACGATCAGTCAGCACATGTCTGTAAACAAAGAGATCCAGTTCCTGACAGAGACCATTTATGGTTCCTTACGGGTGACTGCAAGAATTGTAACTCGGCAGTGGTTGGGGTCTGGCCAATGGGAGTTTACAGGCTTGTGGGGTATGCCTGGGGTGAGATTACAAAAAAAAACTCTGTCAAGTTGACCCATTGAGAAAAAGTTATGACCACATTTGGTGATACTTATCGATCTGTATCCCTGCTCCGTTGACCCGAGGGGATTTCTTAAGTTCGGACAAAATCAGTACTAATTCCTCTTGAGAAACGTCACGGTCTTCGATAGCGCAAGAGGCGTATTCCTCGATCGTGTTCTCTTGGCCTCCGCCAGGAGTTTGATTTGCTCTTTTTTTCCTCATGAAACATTTTGATGCCTATTTCAACATGGCGTAACAGGCAAACGCGTCTATGCTTGCTACATCCCTCTTATTCCCTGAAGCAATTCCAGGTGGTCTTTCACCCCTAACAAGAGCGGGCGTACCGCCCAAGTTTGTGTCCCACTCGAGTTCAGTAGCGTTAGTCATGTTAATGTAAGCCTGGTCGCAGGCGACATCTGGTAGCGGCATCCCTCGGGTGAGAAGAAACGGTTCCCTCAGGGTGGAGGACGTGAGTCCTCCGGTAGGGAGATCCACAAATTCAAGAACAGACACCAACGTCTCCCTTCCCTGATGTTGATTTATTGGCCAGTTAAAAAATTCCCAGATGAAATTAAATTCCTGTAAAATAATTGCACATAACGCTAAGTAAATAAATACATTTTACAATGTATACAGTTATACACATGTCAAAGCGTGTTTTCCAACTACTGTACATGGGTATCACACAAAAGTACACATGGGCTTAATTCCCGACTCACCCACCAACCGTGGGCTTGGTGCCTCAATACTCTTGTGGCATAAGGTATTAGAGGCGGCCCGAACCACCAGGGCTTCATTTTAATAAATACGACTCAGGAGAGCTAAAAATTGCTCTCCTTAAATCAACAAAGCGAATAAATGGGAGCTATTTGCTCTTGCTAACAAAAAAAAAAATACTCAATAAAATTAACACAATTTAACTTCTTTTACTGAGTTCAATGATGCACCTGTCAATTGTAATCCCGGTTCCGGGGGACCTGGGAATTTCGAAAATGTAGCGGGGACGTACCCAGGGATATCTAAAAAAAAAGTGCCCCGCCGGCCGGGACGACAGCGGGGACTTACCCGGGTTTGTACAATTTGTTAAACCGTCTATCGCCGTATCGGTAAAATTTTATAGCACTGAGCTTCGATATGAAATACAAAGTGTTTCCCTTACCCTGACAGATGAAAACCTGACAAATATGACGCCTCATTTTGGGATCAGCGCGTGCAAAATAAGGACATTTCTTTTTTTACAAACATTGTCGCCACTTTCTATGGACTGCTAAATGATTAAAACGTGTGTAATTTAATGTTTCAACCAAGTAGCACTGGTCACGCGTCTTTTGTTTTGGCGATACATTTCAAATCATTGGTTATCTTCTAGATCAATCTTCAATACGAATGATCTTTGTGATGATAGTTAATTGTCTCATGTGCTGGCACTGGCCATGGCCACATGTACATAACGAGCGTCTCAATTGGTCAATTGGTCTCCACACAGCGCGTAACGAATTTCGCTATTGGATGAATTTCCATAATTATTTCTGAGACGTCCGCAAAGAAAAATTGTTGCGATTTGGGTCGTCGGCCCCCTGATTCCGATGCTTCAGATATGCGGACGAATGTTTCGCCAACGTTTGGGATAATTATAGCAGCTGCCCCTTGCTTTGCTTTATTTCGGTGGCATTTTACCTGCACTTACTGCGACCGACTCGATGTCATCTTAGCAATGACCCACAAGAGTAGGGGACTTTTAGAAATTTATGAAAGTTATTAGTTATTTATTTTTAGTTGTACGGTTGTTGCGACACAACCCCGCATGCTGGGGCAGGGATGGTCACAACTTGAACGCCCAGCCGGGGAATGATGTAATAAACGTTTGCGCCTATGTCACGAACTACACGTTCTGCCCGCCCATGTGCAAAATCAAATCATGTGCAAACATGGCAACCCGCATGGCGAACCCCAAACGGTGAGTTCACCCCTTTGTGTCTCATTTTTTCTAGTCAACCTAAACCCAACTTTATTACATGATGGCAGCGGTGGTTGATTCAGAATAACATAGCCGTCATTTTGCATTCCGTTTTGGTCACCAAAACGTGACCTTCCCGCTACAACTTTCCAACGAACTTGTGTGAGTTTCACGCACGGGAATAAACTCACGCATCACGATGGCGCAGTCCCCGTCGTTGGGGGAGGTATCCGCCGCTCCGCTTATCGGTCGTCTGGACCCATACGATCAGATTGAAGATATTCGGAATTACATCGAACGTCTAAACTTGTATTTTGTTGCCAATGACATCCCTGCGGCAAAACAACCGGCAGTTCTTTTGAGTGCAGTTGGTTCTACAGTCTACAAGACTGTCAAAAGCCGAGCTGAACCAACTCCAGTATCACAGAAGGGCTACAAGGACCTTTGCGAGATGCTAGTATCGCACTATGGCCCAAAGCCTCCAGTTGTAGCGGAATGTTTCAGATTTTACAAACGTGATCAACACATCGATTAGTCCATCGCTCAGTACGCAGTTGCACTACAGAACTTGGCCAGCCCCTGCCAATTTGTGACATTTCTGGATGACGCCTTGTGTCGTGATCGCCTGATTTGTGGCCTCCGCAGTGAATATGTTCAGAAACATCTTCTGATCAAGGACGGCCTCACTTTCCAAAAAGCCCTGGAAATTGCTAAAACTCTTGAGACTGCCACCAAAGATCTCCGTGAAATTAAAGGAACTCACAACACCGCAGCTGTTCAAGCAGTACAACATCGACCACGACAGAAAGCGTCTAGCACTCACACACACAAGTGTGTATTTACCTGAAACTGGGGACCCCCTATTGTTCCTCTTTTGTTTTAACTTTTTTAGAAGACCACCCATATGTTTTGTACACAGTTGTCAATCGGGGACCCTCTGTCAATCGGGGACCTCATTGTCCTCTATTGTTCAAGGTCCCCAATTGAATGCAGAAACAAACTCACCAAAACCCAAGCCCTGCACCGGACAGGTCAGGTGTCCCAATTGCGGATATGACCCAAGTCATGCGTCATGCCCAGCTAGAGCCCAGCAATGCAAGTCCTGTCACAAAACCGGACATTTCAGTAAAGTTTGCCGTTTGAAGCGCAAACACATGCGAGCTGTGAGTGCACCCAATGACACAGAAGATGACACTGAGTTTTTTGTCGGTGCAGTCTCCGGCGACAATAGCCAATCACCAACTTCATGGCGCCAGACCATCGCAGTCGAAGATAAACCCGTCAACTTCCTGCTTGACACCGGATCCGAGGTATACCGTTCAATGTTTAATGCACTTTGAAGCTCCACAACCCGACTTTGCAGTTCACACCCACAACCCGTCTGTGTGGTTTCTTCGGCGGGAAAGTCAAACCGAGGGTGCAGAAGCGTCTGTCCTGTGAAGTTAAGGGCAAGTACCATGTACTGACTTTCCTTGTTTGATGGTGGTGAGCCAGTTTTGGGAAAACATGCCTGTGTGTCCCTTAAGCTGGTGCAACGTGTGTACACCTTGATAAATGACAATAGTGTGTTTGAAGGAACTGGCTGCCTTCAAGGACCCCCCAGTCCAGATAAAGCTGACCGACAATGCCACACCACACTGTTTCCATGCCCCTCGCCGCATCCCGCTGCCTTTGCATCCAAAGCTGAAGACAGAGCTGGACAAAATGGAGAAACAATCAGGGTTTGCGTGGACCTGCGAATGCTGAATAAAGCCGTGGCCAGAGAGCAGTTCACCATACCTACCCTGGAGGAAGTACTTGGTAAAATTGGTGGTGCCAAGGTGTTCTCCATACTCGATGCCAAGCATGGGTTTTGGCAAATCCCACTCCATCCTGACAGCCAGAAACTAACCACCTTCATCACGCCATTTGGCAGGTTCTGCTTCAATCGCTTGCCATTTGGCATAACCTCAGCACCGGAATTGTACCAGAGGATCATGAGCGATCTGCTGGGTTAATATCCCAGGAGTCGTCATATACATGGATGATGTCCTCGTAACAGGTGCAACGCCACAGGAACATGATACTCGTCTCCATCATGTTCTCCGGGTTCTTCAAGGAGCTGGGTTGAGGCTGAACAAGGACAAGTGCAAAATTGTACAAGAGCAGGTGAATTTCCTTGGCCATCGACTTGGTAAGGACGGCATTCACCCTGACCCTGCCAAAGTAGACGCGATTCTGCAAATGTCGCCGCCTACAACGAAGGAGGAAGTCAAACGTCTGATGGGGATAGTCAACTGGCTTTCTCGCTTCATACCACATGCAGCTTCTACTGCAGCACCGATCAATGACCTGATGAAGGATGACACAGAGTGGACTTGGGGCCCAGCACAACGCACCGCGTTTCGACAACTCAAAACTCTGCTAACAACAGCCCCAACACTTGCATACCACGACCCCAGAAAGCCAACCATGGTCAGTGCTGATGCCAGCAGTTGTGGTGTCGGTGGTTGCATCCTGCAGAAGCAAACCGATGAGTCTTGGAAGCCTGTCGCATATTGCTCCCGAAGCCTGACACGTGCAGAACAACGCTATGCACAAATCGAAAAGGAGCTACTGGCTGCTGTCTGGTCGTGCGAGCGTTTCTACATCTATCTCCGAGGTCTCCAAGTGACGCTCCAGACAGACCACAAACCCCTTGTATCGCTCATCGACCAAAAGGACTTGTGTGATGCACCCCTGCATTGCCAACGACTTCTAATGAGACTGATGAAGTACAACTGCTATGCGGCAAGAACCTAGTCGTGACCGATACACTCTCGCGTGCCCCTCTCCGTCATGACAACACTACCGACTCCAGTGCAGATTTGGAAGAAGAGGTTGAAGCCCATATCCACCTGATCACATCACAGTGGCCGGCAACTGATGCAAAGCTAGTTGAAATTGCAGCAGCCGTCAGCCATGACCGTACTCTGACTGCCGTCATTTCTTTCGTCAAAGATGGATGGCCAAAGTACCAGAAAGATGTTGAGCCAGAATTGAGGCGATTCTGGGAAGACCAGGACAATATCAGTCTAGTTGGGGGTATCCTCACATATGGTGACCGCATTGTGATACTACAGAGCCTGAGACGACAGAAGTTGCAGAGAATTCATGAGGGTCATCAGGGCATCTCAAAAAGCCGACTCCGAGCCAATCAAGCCCTGTGGTGGCCGGGTATAAGCACTGACATAGCCCAATATGTCCACAACGAGCCGAGCCCCTCATGCCTACACAATTGCCACAGAGACCATGGCAGCAAATTGCCTGCGACCTAGCAGAGGTGAATGAGAAGATGTACCTCGTGGTAGTAGACTACTTTTCCGTTGGATAGAGTTGCGTCACCTCCACACAACAACTGCCAAATCCGTGATCAACTTCATGAAGGCAACATTCGCGAGATACGGCATCCCTGACGTGGTGTTGACTGACAACGGTCCTCAGTTTCTCGGTGAATTCGACCAATTCGCTCGTGAGTACAACTTCCAACATCTTACCTCAAGTCCCCACTACCCACAGGGCAATGGACAAGCAGAGAAGGCTGTACACATTGCTGAGAGACTGTTGAGTCAAGATGATCCAGTCCGTGCTCTTATGATGTACCGGTCCACTCCACTGCCTAGCCTTGGCCAGAGCCCAGCAAGTCTCCTGATGGGAAGAGAGTCGCGCACCAATCTTCCAACCCTGCCTTGCAATCTTCAACCCAAACAGATCAACTACGACAAGCTAAGATCTGCAGACACTGTCAACAAGTCGAAGAGCGCATGTAACTTCAACAGACGACATGGTGCCAGAGACTTGGATCCATTAACACCTGGAGACAGAGTGAAGATATGAACCAAAGGACAGTTGAGCCCAGAAGGTGAAGTTGTACGCCACGCTGGAACACCTCGGTCCTACATCATCAGCATTAATGGCACCGAGGACCGTCAAAACCGACGTCACATCATCCTGCTGCCCAAACCATCACCAGATCCAGTCCTTGACGTCACCAAACCATCCACGGATCCTCAACCCCCAGAAGCTCGACCCACTCGAGTCACCATAGCACCAGTTTGGCACAAAGACTACATCATGTCTGGACACTAGACTTGTCATACATTCTAACAAGATAATGTTTTTTGTATTTCCCAACCATTCAGAATCAGTCATCACTCAGTCAAGAACACTCAAACTCACAATTCCAGCTAACGTTTTATTGGACTCTGAACGGTATCAACATGTCCATTCTGAAAGATATTCAGACCTCATGTGAACTCTCGGCTAAACAAACACAACTCAATCCAGTACAGAAACTTTCGGAATAATCTGATTCAAAGAGCTGAACCTGTAACTTTAGTCCAAGCTGTTGCATTCACTTAATTGTTTGTTAACCTGTTTCCTTGCAGAAAAAAGGGAGATGTTGTAATAAACGTTTGCGCCCATGTCACGAACGACACGTTCTGCCCACCCGCTGAATAAAATCATGTGCAAACATGGCGCCCGCACGGCGAAACCCAAACGGTGAGTTCACCCCTTTGTGTCTCATTTCTAGTCAACCTAAACCCATCTGTATTAAAGGGAATACAATAAAAGGTGCCCCGCCCTGGCCGGGCAAATTACGGGGACTTGGCCAGGACTATTACGATGGCCCTGTTTTATCTGCCCCGCTAAGTCCCCGCTAGTCCTGGGTCCCCCGGGGCCGGGATTACAATTGAAAAGTGCATAACTTGACTAGTCTCCTGGCTCGCCCGACAATCCATTTCGCCGCTACAGGGGATCTGAATTTACTGCGCATGTACATCCTTTCTTTTTGGTATTTTAAAATGTATTGCATGTCCACTGCAGATTGTATTCATCATCCCTTCCTGCGCTCACAATACTACTTCGACCAGTGCATTTTCATACAGAACACCGGGCACATTACCCGCCAGAGACTTTTTTCGTTCCAGTGGCATACTTTCTGTTCTCGACAGGCGAACATTGTTCTCACGCTCGAACCACACGAACACGCAACAGGATCACCATATGCAGCAAGGTATGAGACGGAGAGAACCCCCCTGCTTTGTGTTGGTCATTGTCTTGCAGGAATTTGGGGAATTCCTTTCAGACATCTTGGGGATGTGTTAAGTAACAATAGTCTGGAATGTGTATAGGGATTGGACATGTTGGGGGGGGTACCCCTGGGTCTCATTTCGCACTGGCTATAAGGATCACACACCATCCTCCAGCCACTACAGGTTTTTTTTTTTTCACAAACTCACTTCTGCTGTTCACAAACGGCCGAGAACGTCACGGTAGCGCCCGAACTCGACCCGTTCTGGGAGAGAGGTCGGCCGGGCGCGGCCACGTGCGTCCATGGAATTCCATAGGCCCGCCCACATGCGCTATCACGTTTGTGTGTGGGATGCGGGATTCATCAAGCACGCGCGCACAACTCAAAGACTTAGATCACCAGCCCATGTGTTTTAATACATTCAATTTTTGGACTCGTTTGCTACTGTCGACCCAACGAAATTCAAGGGGCTTGTCATAAATCAACATCTGCTGGTTTGGGAAAACCATACACTCCTTATTTTTAAGGAGCGCTTGTTTCTGCTCTCCTTGGAAAACATTAAGGAGCGCGGAGGAACGCGAGCGCGATCGCGCTCCTTTAAAATGAAGCCCTGAATCACCCTATACAAAATAAGACAAGGTTCGGAAAAATAAAATACGAGCATGAAACCCATTCTATACTAATGCTTTCATACAGTTTATACAAGCATGTTATAGTAACTACTGCTCCAGCATGTATGAACTAGCGTGCATCATGCACGCGTGCACGAAACTCAGTTGCTATGGATGTGTGTCAAAGGTCACTGAAAATTTCCACACCTCCACCCGCGCACACTGTACGCGTGCGCGTGTGACTGATTGAGATGCATGTCCCCGTACGTAACATACAAGTAAGTTGTGCACAAAGCTATCAAACGTGAGTCCAGAGCAGCCCAGCCAAAACGGGAAAATATAATCCATAAAACCCTCATGATCCATTCGATTAGCGGATATCATATATCCAAGCCAACTCTCTGATTATTCAAGATGTTGATAAACAACTAATTATACCCAGATTACAGTTTGAAAGTAAGAAAAAAGGAGCTAATTACCCGATAACTTCAACAAGGGTGCGCCTCGTCTCCGTGGCAGTGCGAAGAGACCGATTCAAAAGGATGCCCTCTAGGGCTCAAAATTGGAAAATTATTCTCGTGAAAAATGACGATCCCTACGTTAAAATATACAGCTTTAAACTGTGAATTTCTTTTACCCTGAAAGCTTTGTCGCCTATTATGTTATGTTATTGATGACGTGTTTTCAATTAAATGTCTGCTCGCTTTCGGTAAAATAAAAAGAATGGGTTTCTATCTAAAGTCTGCTTTACTATTAACGGCTTTTTTAAACAGTGCCGTCTAGTGGTCTTCTTCATAGAGTCTAAATTTATTGACAGTATCTCCCCAGTGTTTTTCCGAGACTTCACTTAAACACATCCCTGGCTTTGTCTGACGTTTGGTCTGCACACAAGTCTTGATAACACACCGCCACCATTGACCTGAGTACTTGCCCCCAGAGATCTTTCCTTATAAAATTTGGTTTAACTTGTTTTCAACGCGGCCCGCTTGACCTTCTGTGAATTGAATATCAAGTTGTTTGAACACTTTTTTTAGATTTGGGTATTTCATAAACAAAACGCTGATTATATCGACCTCCTACTTCCACTTCACAGTCTGTATAAGGCTGTAATCTTTTAAAACAACCGAGACAGTTAACGAATCCGTTTTCTATTCTTTTATTGACATGTTTACAAGTGTTTTCTTTTTATTCTCACATACGCTTCTGGAGGAGGTTTTTCATTGATCAAAGCATAAAACTCTTCTAAATGTTGTGGGAGATAATAGCGAGTCACTGTTTTATAAATACAGAGTTTTTCTTTTAATAAGAAAGCTTTGGTGTGGGGATACGTTTTAAGCCGTGAACCCCAAACACGGCAGAAGACCACTAAAAACAATGGCCTCCCTTAACTTTACACCAAGCAGTTTTATTAATAAAATTAAATAACTCTTTGCATAAAAATCCCACTCAGTGTATGATTTTAGCTTCAACATGTCTTTACAAAATATCATCGCTGTTTTAAAAAGTTGCAAGTCATGCCTGTGACGTACGCCCTCTTAAGTCAAACTGTAAAATCATCCTTCATGTTGGCGGCTAGTTTTCTGTAAAACAAAAATAAAAGCAGTTTAACACTCTTCTGTTTTGCTAACGTTTTTCCCGTATACTCTGCTTTCATTTAATGTGCAATCAAACTAGTGTTTTTTTCCAAGTTTGCCAATTAGAAACACGTCCGATTTCAATACTTGCCGGCACTCAAACTAAAAACTAATGCAGAATTTTTCACAACTGTTAGATATATTTTACCAAACAGAGACACGCCAGTCAACTCGAATAAATACAGTACTCACATTTAATCTTCATCCCCGTCCAGTGTAAAAGTCATTTCAATAGAGCAGAGACTACACTTGTAGTCGTCCCAATAGCTAAATAACATTGAAATGATAGTTTCCTGCGTCACCCGTGTCATTTTATAATGCAAAGAATAGACTTTGAAACAGCGTAGAAGTGCGTCACTGCAGATTGGTTACATGTAAAACCAAAAAATAAATTCATGTACCGATACTGCGCAAAATCACCACTAAAATGTAAAGAAACTTCGCTATGTTACCATGAGAATTCGTAATGCAATAACTGCGAGGCAGTGGGTCACTGTAAAATTGAATACATGGGAAACAAACAATATCGTCACCCGTGGCAGTGAGTCACTTCCATCAACAGGCTGACCTCGCTCAACAAAAGAGGCACCCCGGTTGAATGAACATACACACTTGGCTTTGTGCAGATGTGAACTCTGATTTATTCAGGTCGAGTTAGACTGGTTTATACCAAAATAAAAATGATAACCAGGCTGATAAACGTTAGCTTACAATCAAATCTAATGAAGATCTTTAATATATGCTAATTACTCTGAGTCACTGATATCACTGTCATATCCTAGTAACGATTGCCATTGTTAATATTATAAAATAGCTTTTTCGACTTTATATCTCAGGCTAGCGCCGCAACACGAAGATCCCTGTGTTCCGTAATAGACGTCTTTGAGACAAATCAACAAAACCACGTTGCAACGTTTACCAATATATTTGTCGAGTTGATCTTGCGGTATTCGATTTTTAGGATGGTCAAACAACGAGGTCGTGGTATGTAACCTGACGTACATGCGTTTTTTTTAATCTGTGTAAGGCGGTTTAACTACAAATTCAACCTTTTCTAAGTCGTCTATATCACGACTGGCTCTAAAAGCGTTGATCGTATTTGGTGGAATGTGAGACTTTCTAGTCGTGTGCATGCCGATGCATTTGTAAGCTGCAAAGTTTACGTCCTCAAGTATATCCATCGTAGGCTCTTGACGTGATAGCAGATTTGATGTACGCCGTAGCAGATTGTTTTGGTATTATGATCAACAGGCGTTTGTTGTTTGGTTATAAAAAAATGGGTGAATAATGTTGGGTGTGTTTTTCATTCTTTTTACCACGGGGTCTGCTATCACGAATCTGTCGGGGTCAAAGGGGCCGTATACAACGTTTGGGTCTGTGTTGTCAACATTAAGACGTTTTCGTGGTAGTCGGTTACGTTATAAGTTTGGTTAGAAATGGTTGATGTGGTTTGTATGTGGAATGTAAATAATCAGGAATAAATATCTGTTAGGGGTGACAACATTTACGACCAAGTTTCGTCTCCCTCACCAAGCAGATACGATGCCGCTGTCGTTGAACATCTTTTTTCGCTCAAGCTATAACGTCTTTGTCCGCGGCGGCTGACGATTGGACGAGTAACCAAGCGGCGAGCGCAGCGACTAATTTGGCGTATTCGAATTGGGTAGCGAAAGTGAGATCCATGGTTAGTCGTCAAGTTTTGGGATTTCAGATTTTTTTATTTTTTTTTTGGAGAGTGCGCAGCAGAGAGAGATTGGGAATTTTTTCATTTTTTTTAAAGATTGGAGCAGAATCGGCCATCTATACTACTCCCTCTCAAATCGGGATAGCCTGGGAAAGAAGGCTAGAAGACAACCACTTAAGTATTTAAATGCCCTTAGGAAGGAATCTGCGCCCTGAAACCCGAGAAAGGATACGGCCTCTTCCAAAGAGCAGCCCGAGCAGCCATGTAAAAAACATGAAAAACGCGTCGCAGTTAATGCGAAAATATTCGTGTCCATTTTCATGTATATCAGGGAATCCCTGATAAAGGTTTGAAAGATTCAAACTGTAGGTTCTATTAACTGACAAACCAATTCTAAATACGATGCACAAGCTCAAGCGGCAGACATGATTCATTTTCTTTTGAGTGCAGTTGCAAAGAGAATCGAGAAGCTGAACGAGCTTTTGGAGAAACATCAAACCAGTCATTGTAAATGCACCATCGAATTGAACCGACTACAGGATGGCATGACAGCTGAGGCAGGATTCATGTCTGTGGTGGATTTTAAGGCTTTCACTCGTTTTCGTCATGTCTCAGGTCGTAACCAGAATTTATGATGCACTGTAAATTGCTGGCTCCCCACACAATCTGGTTTATCTTTAGAAGAATTATATTTCATTGTGTTTTTCTGATGCAAACCTTTTTTATTTACTGAGCAGACACGCGTTCAGTCGGCAGAACCTTTTATTCACTGAAGATTTCCTTTGAATACTACACAAAACAGTGCCTTGATATTTGTTTCATTCTTGTTCTCATTCCGAATATATTACATTCCCACTGAAATGCCCTCTTGTGAATTCCCATCTCGATAACCCACTTGACTGCTTTCTGGCAGATCCGATTTAGGCAATTCGAGCCTACAGGTGTACATCCACAATTACACGAAGGTATTCCACTATCACTGTAGTTAAACTGTACTTTTCCTTGGTGTACAAATTACCCATGTTATGGACTCATTAGTTGTTTGGAGAAAAAAAAGTAGTTTTACGGGGGGCAACAGGGCAACGCCCCAATCGAGTAGTTTTGGGAAGGGGGGAAATACTGGGATAAGAGATTATTTTGGACTGCTTCGTTTCCCATCTTTCCCTAAATTTGGCCTCATCCCTTAGAAAGACCTTAAAAGGCTACCAAAAAATCTTAATAACAAATTTCGCCCCCCTCCATAGAAACTCATTTCGCACCCCAACCGACAATGTTCGTTCTGGATCTGCTCGTGCCATTGGTACTCCACCAGTTGGTTTTGACTGTGCTCCAGTAGTCAAGACACACTCGAGACTATTGTGCGTAAAAAAGAATTGACTCTAGCTTTATTTTTATTTTTCAATTTTTGAGAAAATAATCCAAAAACGACGTATTAAAAATTGTGCAAATTCAGGATAAGGAATTTACTTTGCATTACAACACATTACTTTTATAGCCAAGGGGGCTGCGCTGGTTAACATGTACATTTTTTGAATACATGGATGTCATTTCTTCTGACAATTAATTCGACTATTATTTTCTGAGATTTTTCAGCAGCTACACAATTTTTGGTTTTTAATACGTGTGCAGTAGTCCTCAGAAGACTTAACCCCAATGGCCCTCTTTTCACCGTCATCAGCCAAGGCAACGGGTAACAACGAAGACCATTTTATCAAAACAGAACAATACACTACTAATACACTCTTAAAATTTACACAATAAAACACGAAGTGGCAGTTTTATAGGTTTTGGCTTTCATTTTCTTTCCTGTGCCTCAACATGACATCAGCTTTATCAAAGAAACCCTGGACGACATTAATTGTAGGAAACGTTCTACTGAGTGCGGCAGTTGTAATTTCACAAAAGAAAATGCTCAACTGTCTCAGGTAAAAATCAACGGAGTCCCGATTTTAATTTGCGCTTTACTGTAATTAAATCTAAAATGAAACTTACCTAAATTCAACCCAAATTTTTGCCAATAACTGATAAATTTATTTCAAGTTATTAAACAGAATGGATTTATTTTCTTTGTTTTTTTTACGTTAAAATGTACAATAAGTGCAATATAAGAATTTAGATTTAATTTAGTTTTATATTGACAATTTTTGAAGCGTGCAAATAAGACAAAATCATTTAAACAATGTTATTCAAACTCATGCATGAAGAGCAAAAGACATACAGCCACAAGTAATGCACAATTTCACCACAATCCAAATAGTTTGCCCGTAATTCTTATAAATATGCATTGTAGCAGTTTGTAATTGTATCAGTACAGTGATGTTTATAATTGGCTGAACAAACACTTGTAATATACGTATTAATTTTGCAAAATAGCGAATAATGACAAGGCATCCCACACGATTATGAGTGATTGGAAATATTAAAGTAATACCGACTTATTAGCCCTTGCTATGAACAACAATCAAACAGACCGGAGAAAGATATTCCTAGACGAAACCATAGGTCCAGTTTCTTGCATAACATCAGGACAACGCACACTAACATACATATTTCGCCTCTAACTCTATCATCGAATCGGTCTTCTGTTTGATCCGATTATCGCCAAGAGGGCGTTGACAGCTCAGATGTAATTTATCCAGTTATTTTCGAATTAAAAAGCAAGTCAGGTGGCAGGTGCTGATCAGAGACTAAGAAATGCATATTTTTTTTATTCTGCACAGTTTTTACTTGACTTGGAATGCCAGATGTGACGTACACATGCCTTAGTTCGAATCTATTTGGAAGTCTGCTATAGTGATTTCCAAATACCTCCTGGCAAAATCCATTTTCTTCCTGTTTGTAATCATTTTTTGGACCCGGTGAGGGGGCAGAATGAGCTATTTTTCCAGAAAGGGAATGTCTATATTGTATTCACATGTAAAAGTGTTTACCCCTCTCTCTGAAGAAAGGTGGTAATAAACTGTCTGAAATGCTTGAACCTACAATCGAAACAAGTAGCATGTCTCCATAGAGGAAACTTGCTCGTACCCTCTGCTGGATACGCCACTCGTACTTCATAGACTATTTTTTCTATATCTGGCAAAGAAGAGGAAAGGAGCCAGTCTGATACTTTAAATCTACCATCGCGCAGACGAGTCTGCAGCTGGTTAGATACTTTCTACTGAAATTACAGTCTGATTGTCAATCTGAAATGTTCTTCATGTTTTAAAATATACCTTATACAGACTTGCATGAGTTCAGGAGACACAATAGCGATAGTTTTAACGAGATAATATGTTCGCATTATTTTCTTTTTAAAATACGCACGCAAACTTTTAAGAACAGTGACAATTTCTGAGGATTTATTAACTCTTGAAAGGTATAACTGGTTGAAAATAAAGCGGTATCTGACCTGTGCCTTAAGCCTGGTTTCCATATCGACGTAAGGAGACGTAGAGAGCTGGGACGCAAACGGGTCTGCGACAGTTAGCAAACTTTAACTTGATTTTAACTTCCTACTGTCTGCGTTGAGTTGCCAGAGAAGGCCTATGTAAACGCGCTTTCAGGCATGACAGGCCTAAAACGATGTCTATTGTGCTTTAGCACCACTTATGTTTGCAATTTCTCTCCGTTTTAGTTACATGTCCAGCTAGACTTTTCAACAAAATAGCTCACCGTAAGCAAAATAAATTAAGCTGAATAAAAGCGAAACTTTCTGAGCTTCGGCTTCCATTTTGTTTCATTTTTTAGTGGGATAACCTCACACAGCGTCTTTTCTACAATGTCATTGTGTTGGCGTTTTTTGGGCTTAATTTTTCCCCTTTATGTTTGCATCGTGTATGCCACAGCCCCAAGACCTTAAAGTCCGTTTTTGGCTGATGTGCAGACACACAAAGGATGCATGTCATCTAGCACAGTCAGATTTGATTACGCCAAAGCTTCACCCACGTTGACAGAATTCGTGTTACATTTATTACTTAAACCTAAAGAATTTGCTCACAGATGGGTAAGAACGCATCCCGGCAAAGGTAAATATCACTGTAGAGGTTCCCAAATTGCGATTGAGAAAAATTAAGAAATTCAGGACCACTTCAGGACAAGGCTTAAGGTGCACATCAGTCTTCAACAACCTCACTGAAGTTTAGCTTCGTCATGTTTCTAGGCAGCTTGTTGCACAGCGGTTGATCCTTCCGTTCCGGAGACGCTGCCGTCACCACCTCTAGTGCCCACCCTGTTGCTACTCTTGCACTTGCCCAGTGTGAGCATCTCGATGAAGGCCGCCCTGAACCGGCGGTGCATGAACCCATAGATGATGGGGTTCACGCACCCAGCCACGTACGATGTTACAGTCACCACCATGTACACGTTACTGTTGATACCAATGCCGGGTATGTCTAGATATCGGATGAGCGGGAACGGGATGTAACCGACCCACACCACCAGGAATACGGCCAGCATCATGCGGTTAAGATCGCGGTCATTGCGGATAGAGGGCCTAGGGCGGTTCCGGCCTCGGCCAAGGGTTTTTGCCACCTCGCTAAGTCTCTCGTGGCCTATCCAGATGCTCCCTTTTCGCCTCGTCAGATCACCCTGGCTCGGAGTCGACCGGACTGATCTCGGATCCGACTGAGTGCTGGTCAACCGGCCTCTACTTTGCCGCGTCTTGCTTGCACCGCGTGCCTCGGTTCGGTGATGACCGGATCGAGAGCTACAGGCAGTCTGGTCGTTCATGTTTGCACTGGTTGTGTTTGGTGAAATCGCATCATTGCTCGCCTGCCTATTTTGCCCCTTCTGTCCTTTGCAAGATGGCCCCCGAATATCGGGTGAGAAATCAACAGTGTTGATGGTGACCGACGACTGATAAATAGCGTCGACAATTCTGTATCTACAGACATCTGTTACAGGAGTTGATAGGTTCTCGTTACTGCAGCTCTTCTTGGTTCGATTCATCTCCTTATCATTAAAACTACTAACAGGCTGATCTGTGTCTACCTCTGGTGAAATTTCAGGGTTTGTCATCAAATCTGGGTCGCCCGCGCATGGTTGCGACATCTGCTCTCTCTCTTCCTGAAGAGAGGGCGCGAAAGTCACCCTATCTCTTGTGTTGCTGCTACAAGCCGCAGAGGACATGGCTTCCCTGTTTGTGACACTACTTGGTATGGTTCGAGTAACAGTACCCATATTTCCATGAAGGCTCTTCCGCTTCTTCTTAACGAAGGAGAGAATGGCAACATACGAAGCGACAATAACAATGCTGGGTAGGACAAAGATGAAGCTGTAGACAATAACGGAGATCCGCCAGCTAGTGGCATTGTAGATGGCGATACATCTAAGAGCCTTCTCTAGGTAGTACATTCGGCCAGCCACCACAAAGAAATGGTAGCACATCATGACTCCGGCAGTTACCAACCAGCACAGCACCACGGCAATACCGATGTTCCGGCGAGAAGCGATCTTCTTGGCGCGCGTGAAGAGCACCACGTTGACCAAACGGTCCAGGCCGATACACATAGTGTGTAGCAAGGACAGCAAGGAGAAGGCTAGCGTGTAATACGTGTGGAACCCACACATGAAATCCCCCGTCCGCCATTCCTGGTATATCAGAGTGTCGATCCCTGGCATCAGGACACAGCCGACATAGAACAGCCCGACCACACTCAGACTGACGATGAACGTGTTCCCGCGGGTTCGCAAGTTCTTCTTCCTTACAACAGCAGCGATGACTAGCAGATTGCCCACAAGCCCAACGAGCATAAAAATAGTAGTGATGCCCGCTGCTACCCGCGTCACCACGAGGGACGGTAAGGCGCTTTCCGTGTCGTTGGCCATAGTAGAATTATCTAACCTACGCTCTGGGCGTATGACGTCCACAAACCTCAGATCTTGACTGGATCTTAGCATTGTAAACGTCCATTTATGACGGTTATCTGTGAGTTTAAGTCTTTTTAGCGGAACAAAAATCCCATCTGCATATACAGCCAGAGAAAACTGCAACTTAGCAGGCCTACGCAAATAGCAATAGTGTTGCTGAAGTCAATAAAAAGGAGTATTATCGCGTCATACATACATTTTCTTTGCACTCAACAAACACCAAAATATTTGCGCAGTAAGGTCATCCTACTGCCCAACCATCTCACAATCATGTGCAACTGACTTTACAGTGAAACTGCGGCACTGGTTTGGCTCTGTCACAAAAAAGCGAAGAAAGTTGCAAATGCTTTAAGACATACCTGGAACATCTTTCTAATTCCTTTTATTTTAGAAAGTCTGTCGATTTCCACGCAGTCACATGGCATGTTGTACGATGTACTCCAGGGGGCATTGTTGACTGGTGGCTTGCTGGCGGCAATGTCCATTGCGTAAGCCTTTCGATGTAGGCGTTATGCATCAACAAAAGGGTCGAACACTGCGGAGAAATCGTCTCCCAATTCCCGCATAATGTTTGGTTTGTAGGATATTTTTTCCAACTGTAAAACATGACGATAAATGTTTATTAAACTGAATGGACTGACATTGGTCGAGTCGCCAGCATTAGCATCTTACTACTGGGGAAAATTCATAAACTTCACTTAGTCGTGCCGGCTGCATCTCCATTGTCCAAAGTTTTCTTGCTAAAAAGCCAAGCAAATTTAGCATACGGAGGTGTTTGACGACGTGTAGAATTTGCAGTTGACCGCTAAGCCGAACAGACGATGACACTACTTCCCTGCGAGGACATGACACGTCACGTGTCTCTGAGCTGCAGGAACATCGGACTCAAAATATTTTCAGACTCACGAGGTGGGTAAGACTGTGCGTCACTCAGGCTACATCTGGACTGCATTTCGTGTCTTTGTAGGCGTTTTGTTCGGAAATGCAGTCTTCGTTGAAATGTCGTGTCATCCATCTATAATTTCGACTTCAGCGTGCTACTGCTGATCCACTGTCATTATCAGTATAGCACTGCGATGCGTCTGTGCAATGTTAAAGCTTACTATTGCCGTGAGAACGAGATGGCAGGGGATCGTGGTGAGGCAGTCGCTCGTGCCTGACGATCCGCTTGCGTCGAATGTAACGAGTCGGGCATGTAAAATGCTTCGCAGTCAACTAGCCGTGCCGTGTCTCATCGTTTATTTTCCAGCGTGTTTCACTTCGGCAGTGATTCATTTCTTCAGCTGGATGCCGTGAATCGAAGGTTTGCCCACGAGGGCTGACGGGGTCAATGTTGTTACGCTTTTACTACAAGAAACAGCAAATACCACATCTCGATGTCCAGTTCTGCCCACGCGATTGTGACAGCTTTGGCCATTTCGTAAACACTGTCCCCTTAATTGATCATTTAACAGACCTAAGAATGAATTCGCGCTGGCTAGCTTTCTTCGGTCAGCTACGACACAGTACACTTGGTAAATATTTGTGATATGTAGAGGCAAATGGAAACCACTCTTTACCAAAGTTTATGTGTTAGATAAAGTCACGACATTTTGTGATGTCGACAGCCCGTTCACTTTCCCGTTAAAAGGAGGGTAAACATGCTTTCTGCTCGTGTTTCCTCAGCTCAAAGCGTGGAAAGATATTCCCGCACACCGTTGGTTCGTGCCAAGTTCGCATCCTTCGTTTTTACTGCCAATGCAGTAAAATTACACATGTTTGGCTGTGCGCGCTAAGTGTGCCACTCAATGGCCAATTGAAAATTTGATTAGGAGCCTCCCTGCTCACTTGACCATTTACAACGCACAAATTACCAAATCTACGGAAAAAGTCATAGCCCACTAATTTTCCTATGCGTTTTGTTGAGTTACAGTATTGAAGTCTTTACATCACGAAATAAATTGAACATAAGAGTGAAAATAACGCGCTGCATGAATCGTGAATCAAAATCGTGGCATATAGGGGCTTATTTGATAAATTTGTTTTGTGGGCGTAGTGCCGACCCCCTTAACTTCAAAATTTATTTCCCCTACTTCACACACACGAGCAGGAAAGCAAATATGACTACATAAAAGAACATAGTGTGGCTTTCGGCACGCACTGGCTGATAAGTGTAGCTGCCTCGCTTGTACGTTTAGGTAAACTTAAAATTGTAAAACACTGGCGCCACTCGTTTATCACTGACCACATTAAAACGCACGGTTTAAAATGTATCAAAAGTGTTGTATGGACTTACTGCAACATTTACGCTGAGTCAATTTACCATGTAACAGAAATTCATTATCGACGCGCTACTCATGAATTACGCTAAGATATCTATTGATGAGTTGTATTTGCTAATGGTTAAGAACGAGAAATAATCTCAACTGTTCTTATTGAGTTCTTGCCATTAATTTGTTCGTCCGGTACAAACCACATCTTTCTTAGAAATAAAAAAAATCCTATTGGGAAAGCTAATACAGCTAAGTGATTTATCTCCCTGTAAACTATATTTATTTTTCCGTCAGGCACTTAGTCTCAAATTTCGCTAAACGACCGACCCCTTGGAGCAGTCTTTCATAATGTGAACTGCTCTTGCTGACAAGAACCACGATTTATATCCGTGAAAATGCAATCTTCTCTGCAAAACGTCTGTAGGGTGTCCACCCTGAACAAAAATAAATTGCCTTTTGCCTGCCCCCGCGAGCCGCATTTATTGGCATCAGCATGACCGCAGAGGGTGATTTGTTTGTCAGCTATCGGAAGCAATTTCGGACATTATCTTACATCCTACTGGCTTCCAAGATTTTCTGCAGTCACTTAGGAAGTGTTTGTGGTCTGTGTTTATTTTGGTTGGCTCAGGAAAGGGCGTGGAGTTCACTGCACATGCACTACAATAGAGAGCATGTTGGCGCCTTTTGCGTCTCGGCTGTTTTTGGTGTTTTTTGTATTTTGTTGGTTTGTTTTTTGTTTGTTCGGTTGTTTGTTCGGTTTGTTGGTTTGTTTGTTTGTTCTGTTGGGGTGTTTGTTTGTTTGTTTGTTTGTTTGTTCGTTCGTTCGTTCGTTCGTTCGTTCGTTCGTTCGTTCGTTCGTTCGTACGTTCGTTCGTTCGTTCGTTCGTTCGTTCGTTCGTTCGTTCGTTCGTTCGTTCGTTGGTGGGTGGGTGGTTGGGTGGTTGGGTTGGTTGGTTGGTTGGTTGGGTGGGTGGGTTGTTTGTTTTTCTTATTGTTTGGTCAGTGGAGGATTCCCTTTTCAGTTAATTAAAACCTGCCTATACAGAGCGGCGAGAGGGAATTTTGGCATCGCTATTCTTGGTATAGAATTGGGAGTCCATCCGTGGTCCGTCAGTTCACGAAATGGTAGTTTGTTATTAGGCGAACTACAAGTTATATCCGAATGAACGGGATTCAGCTACGCAGCAGAGTAACACACACGTCTGTGTCAACAGCCATTACTTCCTTTTCTCAATATGCATTTCTGGCTGCAGTCGTAAATGTTGGATGCGACCCTACACAACAATTTCCGAATAGTTAGATGTCTTGTAGCTTGGCGAGGCAGGAGTAAAGACGATCAGACTCAAAAGAGCCTTTGCAAATAAGACTGGTGCGGCGCATTCCTGAGGCTCCCACGGAACAAAGTCACTTCAGAAGAGCGTAAAAAGAATCGTGACTAAACGATTGTGGCCCACTCGGAGACGGTACAACAGCGCAAACCAAGCATATAGACAGGACTATTTTCAACGTTACACCACAGGACCCATGGCTTCATATCGTTCCCACTCAGAGCAAACAGAGGGGTGGTGGTGGTGGTGGTGGTGGTGCTTCTTCTTCTTCGAATCTTTTATCTGTAAATATTCTAACTTCTTGTAACTTCCTGTATTTTTGTTTATTTCAATGGAATGAAATATATTTCCATTTGAAAGTCTTCTTCTTCTTCAATTCCGCATACGTACCTCAGCCAATTCCGCAAACGTACCTCAACCAAGAAACGTAAATGCTGTAGTGTTAGCCATTACTCCATCTCCATTAATGGCACTCCTAATCATTTTACCGGCGGAGAGTAAATACCAAAATACCACAGAAACTCGTTGCCACGGACTGCTATAAGCAATCATTCAATTCCAATGTCATGTGAAGTGCCTGCCTTGTTTTTCCTTTTCGGATTTTTGTAGGCCTATGACCGGATCGTTCTAAATGAATTAGAAACGATCCATCAATTTATTAGCACAACAACGATCGAAGATGCTTTCCCGAATTTGGGACCTTATTCGTGATAATTAACGCACGGGAGCTACAAAAAGAACCAAATAAAAAGAACCCCTGAATTGAAATACGTTTGCCCCTAATAAATGCTATTTGGGCGTAAGCCTCCTTTGCTTAATTTTTAGCATGCTTAATTTGTAGCGTGTCTGTAAATACTGATTTTGTTGCCCACTTTTGTGCGACTAGTTGCCGTCTTTATCAAATCACACCTCGTGTGCAGTTGCAAGTACCACATGAAAAAGTGGCCTTTTAAAGTTTTTTCCTTTATTGTTATAGGTTGACCCACATACTCTCAACGTGTTCAATTTCTTTTTTTTTTTCAAATTCATTAATGGTTACCTTCAAAATCCTTTAAAGGATTCACGAGTTTTCATTTTCCCAGGGTAACCTCTAATTTCGTTTTTGTTCGCTCATCTTTGCACTTTAATTTGTCAAACTATTTTATGAATTTACCGTACTTTTGCGTGAAAACCAATTAAATTTCGCCCTTCCTAACTGTCAAATGCACGATAGGTGGAACAATTTCTTGATTTTGCACGTTATATAAATTTCATTTCATTTCGTCACATGATTGTATTCTATCTTCGGTATTTTTACGTTTTCGTGGCTTAAGTTTTCTACATTAAACATAATACTTTATATTTTGTGTCTGTTTAGTTATTCCCTGGTTTGACATAT